ATCTTCCCGAGGCAAGAGAGTTAAGGCGACACTTTTTTTATTTCTTGGTTTACGGATGCGCCGCCTTTTCGAAGTCAAATTGTTAAAAAGAAAAGTGAAAATTACCCTTTTTTATTACAACCGATCTTTTCGTCAAAACGTTCAAACCAAAAGGATTTCATTTCCTTGTCGAGCGTAAAGCAAAGGGAAGTCACTCTGATATTTCTTGCTGGGATCCTTCTCTAATACCATCAAAGCTTGTCAACGCAAAGCGCAGTGGTGACCAGTTTAACTATTTCAACACTGTTGGCCGGTCAAGAAGCCATGAGTCACACTGCAAGGTAGACCGACCAAGTCACTGCAAAATAGTTTAAAATTTTATTTATCTACTTGTCATATCATTCCTTTATTAAATCTATCACATTTCACAATGTCTGAAATACGTATTCCATTTGATTTTATCTGTATTTATCTATAGATTAAAAATGTATTCACCAGACACTATTTCCCTCAATGTTATTGAAAATAAAATTCTCGGACACACTTCAACAACGGGTCCTCATCGAACATGTCAAACAGCAAAATGAAGATGTTTCAAGCAAATCTTTGAAAATATTATACAAAGTTATAAAATGAACGAAAATATATGTAAAAGTTGACAAACTGACATCTAAGTTATTATCTAAGTTATATTATTTCTCGGCTCGGACACGATTTCTTTAATGCCAAAATATATGAATAAGAAATCTTTGTCATACCTCATAACCTAGCACTATGCATCCATAAATTACCATATTTTTAATAGAGATTGCGATTTCATGCTTAAAATGTTCAGAATAACATGATTTAACCCAATCCTTTCGCCAAAGTCTGAAAATCACCGTTGCTGTAATTTTATTGGCTGCCTTAGGTCATGTGCTTAAATTTGACCAATCATGAACCTTGTAGCAGATAATGTTGGTGAAACAATATAAGTTTTTTTAATATACCGGTATACTGACATGGCAGCCTTCGACGTATGTGTTATTCATACGAAGCTTTGAAAACAGAGGTATTTCCTCATGTTAGTGAGCGGACAGCCACTATCATCGGCAAATGGGTGATGACAGATATTATTTGTAATTCTTTTTAAAATAATGTTTTGACTATATAAACAAATGAAAATAAAAAATAAATAGGTAAGTGCATTTTATGAAATCTTATATTTGCCGAAAATCGTTACATTTTCGCTTCATTGGTCCTTAATCTGGACGTTATGAATGTTTTAACTTACATTATTTCTATTTAAAACAAACTTTATTAAGTTATTTAATGAATAATTTAAATAATGTATAACACATAACTTTCATATCTATAAACAATAGGATTAATTAGACCTTTCAAATAGTGTATGGCCAAACTTGTAGTAGCAAAGATGTTTTACAAGCAGATAATTTCCTTGATAAATGTTGGCTTCATCTATCACACAAGAGTCTCTGGGAACTTGGTGTCACAGCGGTAATCTTCTGGTTGGCTGGTGTTGAAAGAGTTTAACGTTGCCCATGCTGCCAATATAGCAGCGTCTTTCATGCACTTCCACCCATGACATGAATATTGTTATATTGCCATTTGTGCACAAGCTGAGTGCCAGGGATATAATAAAATGTTCTTGAAAAATTGAGTTATTTTACGCTTGTCCAGAGCTCCAGATAAGCTTTTGGTGTTGTGGGTATTTTACCCATGCATTTTAAAATCATTGGGTATCAGTAATTCTATCTGCGTATTCAAATTTCTGTTACCCACTAGTTTTTACACATGTGGGTATTTAAGTTAAATATTTAAAAACTCTATTCATCTAGTCCCTGCAAATTTGTGTCGTGTGGGTTCGAGAGCTTTATAGGACTCAAAAATACCACGATACTTCCACAAGAAAGTGTGATGGCAAATGATCATGATGTAACTGTCATCGTGGAGTTTGGCAAGGTTGACGGAATGCATGTTTATAATTTCAAAATAAGTTGCTGATTTGCTAATCGAATACGCAGGGTTACTTCACAATATTTTGATGATACGCTCAAGTTTTATTTTTGTAGCGTATCTGTAATGTTCGTTGCGTATTTGATACGCTTGGATTTTATTTTACTGCGTATTTCTGCATTTCTGATGCGTATTTTATGCAGATACGCAGCTTATCTGGAGCTCTGTTTGTCACCCCAGGATATTTTTTTTCCGGTTCGTAAACTGTTATGCAGATTTCGGTCAATTGCAGGATTTGCAAAGCATGTGCAGCGCTAACTCGTTGTCAACAGGTATTTTCGAAATCTTTTCATGTTTTAATCAAGGTGCTCACGTGATTTGATGCACTTTGCGATATAAGACTTGTTTTATCACAATATAGATCTTGATTAGCGATCAAATCGTCTTGACTGGGTGTTGCCATTTTGTTTGAAGAAAATGCATGTGATACGAGAGATGAAATCTGATTGGTCCATAGGAGAGGCATAGAACGGACATTAATCATAATAGGGGGCGGTGGGGTAGCCTAGTGGTTAAAGCGTTCGCTCGTCACGCCGAAGACCCGGGTTCGATTCCCGACATGGGTACAATGTGTGAAGCCCATTTCTGGGGTCCCCCGCCGTGATATTGCTGGAATATTGCTAAAAGCGGCGTAAAACCATACTCACTCACTCACTAATCCTAATAGCCTCTGGTGGCGCAACGATCGAGCCCAGGAATTCCAGCCTAGTTCAGCAAGTGTGGAAACTTGACTTTTAAAGTCAGTTAACTCTCTTGCCTCGAGAAGATGCACTCAGTGATGGAGAGCTTTCCACTGATGCACAGTCATGGCAGAACCATCAGGTCTGTACACAGGACCTACCAGCTTGTATGCTTACACTGACCATTAGTGTCACAATGATTGCATACCATAGGATATTGCCGCAGATTTATACTGTGTTAACGGGGGTTTACGTTTAGTTATCCTTAATGACCAGTCAGAATATCGAGCCAATTGGTACTGAGCACATTTTAACAAGTCCAGAATAAAACTGCCATGCCCGTCACACACATGCACACAAGATATTAGATAAAAAGCATTTTTTTAAACATTAAACGGGGGTAGACTTACAAGTAGATAAGCAGCTTCGGTGAAACCCCGGGGAAAACAAGCTCTCAGTGGCTGGTATCCACAAGTAGAAGACATATTTCCTCCGACTAGGCAGGTATTGTTAAAAAATGTTCATAGTTAATGAGATTAAGCTTTGAATTAAGGCTAACAAGGTTCACTCGTATGAGCCATGTTTACTGTAATGCTGCAAATTTCAGTGCCAAATGGCAACGGTTGAACCTGTGTAGGCTGCATGCCAGTGTTACCATGGTTACTAAGCCCTTACCTAAATGACCCATGAAGATCCGGGTAGAATAGGTCTTCAGCAACCCATGCTTGCCGTAAAAGGCGACTATGCTTGTTGTAGGAGGCGACTAACGGGATCGGGTGGTCAGACTAGCTGACTTGGTTGAAGCATGTCATCGATCCCAATTGCGTGGGTCGATGCTCGTGATATCAATCACTGGATTGTCTGGTCCAGATTCAATTATTTACAGACCACGTCATATAGCTGTAATATTGCCGAGTGCGGCATAAAACAACAAACCAACCAACCTTACCTATCATGCCTATATGCAAACAAACACAGCAGCCGAAATATTCCAATATTGGGATTCCTGGGTTACGTTGGGGTAGGTCACCAGTCCCTCTTGATTGTTGCTGGCTTTTACCTGGACTTTCAAAAGTTGGGGGTAATTTTAAGGGTCCTTGCAGGTAGTATGAAATGGTTTGGTGTCCTGAATGTTAATATAATTTCTTTAGAGCCTGGAATCAGTCAATGATCATGTGGACAGTGGTCATGATGGATTGATAAAATGACCGATCAATAGCTGCTCATTATGCGCTGTAGGTACAGTGAATATTGTTGTGTTGTGCATCCTTCGGGAAACAGTATATAATGTTTCTGCAACAATTCTCTACATTTGTAAATATAGTCATTACGGCAAGGGTTGGTCGAGAGTACTTTGTTTCGAACTTGTCTTGATAGTTAGCTATTGGTACCATTTCATCATCCTACAGTCATGAATTACACTGATTCATGAAGTATAGTATGTATTCACTTACTGTGTTATTAAACGTTCTAATAAGCACTCGCAAACCAACTTCTTGACCAATCTGTCAATTATCTTCATAAGGTCCCCCTACGAACGTACTTTTACTTAAAATATGTAATGACAGTCCCCATTTTCTTGTGTGTCATGGTATATTACAAATTATTGTTTATAGAAAACAGCGGCAGGGGTGTATTATTGTCCAGTAACTATTATCGAAAATGTTTTAGTTTTACTGACATTTGAACTGATTTTGTTCACCACACCTTGCTCATATTACAGTGAATATGGTATCACATACTGACAAAAAAATACAAATTGCACATACGTTGTAATCTCAAATGAGTACCAGAGTGTTTCATTCACTGTGGTTTGGTACCTGGGGTAATATATTTGGTTTATTTGGAAAATACAAAATGGTGTTCGAAATTAAAGGGGCCCAGGGATACTTGAGGTTTGCTCTTCTAGTGACCCCCTTAATCTAGTAACTTTCAACATTAGGGCAATTCCAAAGACCCCTTGAATTCCATGCTTAATTTTGAACACTGCAAAAAATACCAAACTTTGATCCTATCTCACATTTCTTCTTTTTTCTTCGATCCTATGTGGAAATGTGCTTGAACCCTGTTTCCAGCTTCTAAACAAAAACATTTACCCGAACACACCCAAGCATCACAATGGTTACGACCAACAACTGGGTCAATTACGTGCACAGTAACATTCCGAGCTTTCACCATGTGTGTCTCTCTACCAACTCATTCTCTTTCTAATCGCCACCTTATACTAAATATCCAAATATGGCCAGAACTTAAGTCTTGTGGATTTCTGTTAAAGTCATAAATATCTGTATGTTTCTGTCACGTCTGACATGTTCCCTCCCACAGACGCACTACTTCGGGCTGCGGTTCATCACCAAGAAGCTCCAGTTCCAATGGGTGGACCTCGGCAAGCCCCTGAAGAAACAGCTGGACAAGATGGCGGAGGCTTCCCATCAGCCTCCTTGTCTCTACTTCGGGGTCATGTTCTATGTGGCCGGTGCACACAAGATCCCTGACGACACGGCCAGGTTCCACTACTACCTGCAGCTCAAGAACGACGTCATCGATGGCCGTGTGCCGACCAGCTATGAACAAGCTCTGCGTCTGGCTACCTTCAGTCTACAAGGTATGTACGCAGGCTATTCCACATGCTTGTGGTGTTGTAGAGGGTCTTGTAGAAGAGGGTATGCCCAAGCCACAAAGTGAAAAAAAATTAGGGTTGAGTATCGATATGGATTATAGAGATTGATAATCATTAACTAAATAATGATCAATTATCAATAAATATCGGTGAAGTAACTTAAAGCAAATATGCAAAAAGGCCCTGAATGAAATAAATAGAGGTTATCACGCCTGTGTGTTTGGGGATGGTAAATATCCTGCATTAGGAATAAACATTGTATTTAGCGAGCCTTGGCGAGCTAAGTACATAGTGTTTATTCCTAATACAGGATATTTACCATCCCCAAATACACATGTGTGATAACCTCTTTATCATATGATGTCATTCTTTAATTCTGTACTTCAAAATAGCTTTCCCTCTCTCACAAACATTACCGAAACATTGTGAGTTTTCCTGGATTGCACGCATTAATATTTATTATGTCAGAGGGTAAGTGATGTGTCAGTCGGACAGTGACAGTAGCCAATATAGTTCCAACTGAAATCTATTTCTTATACAGTGGCGAAGCAACATAAACGCAAAACAACAATTGTTTTTAATTGCCTTTCGCGGCAATCCATCGGTCTGTCCGCTAGAGTAACTGCACTTTGTCAAAGGGAAGCTACTCTAACCCTAGTCTATGAGACGTCACGGCTACGGTCAGACGTTGTTGACAGTCGGTCTGTCCTGTCATAACGTTAAGAAGAGTAGTCAGATGTACACACAGCGACAAAACGAAACAAGGTAACAATTCAAATATATTTCGGCTAAATCCAACTATTTTAATTTGTGGAGAAGGTTTCAAGCCGCAAAGGTCTACAAGCACAGATATGGCTACTGATCCCGCTTGGCTAGGCCTCGTGCCCTCGCAAAATTGTTTCGAAATTTATATATCTCCAAAGTTGCCAAAACTTATAAAATGCCTTCTCTACGTCACAGTTAGACACTGATTTTCAGTATATTAGACTGTTCTTTTGATAATTATAGCAATTATCCCTGTAGTTTATCCAGATTCCCGATTGTTAATTCTGACTCGATCGCCGAATGACGAGCGCGACGCCATGTTTGTTTATAAACAGTGAAAGTAGTCCCTACTTGACCTTTGATATTTGCATCTCTATCCGCATATGACCCCAACGGATATCGTTTTTATCTGTTGACTTTATCCTGCCGAGAAACCTACCCATTATATGATAAACATATGTTACGCCCCTGGTGAGCAGTGACACATTTATGCATAGATTACTTTGTGGACATTTGAGATATAACAAAAACAGTTGCTTTCCATCTTCGATAATTGAGATTATTGGCAATGACAAGTCTGTTTTGGTAGATCTAAATTTATTTCATCACATTAATTTATGTAAGTTATTATGATGACAACAATTTCATATCAATAGTCGTTGATATTTCTTCCCATCGATGATAATTCCGATTATCGACCTTTTAGCCCGCCCTAACAGAAGTACATGCTAAGTTAACATAGTGCATGTTTGCCATACTCAGTTGACATTGAAATGCTGGCAAGTAATCCCTCAGTGGCAGGTCAGTGTGCTTGTATCATGGGTGTCTTTGATAATTGGTATTCATAGAACAGATGAAAGAAGCAGGTAGATTGATCTGTGCCAACAAATTGGATTTAGTGCAATTGCACTGTAAGCCCTTATAACACAATCGTAATAAATTTTATTCTGAATGAATACTTCAGGTATATTTGAAGTTTGTTTGATCCCAACTTAAGAGTTCTATTGATAGGCGAGATTAGATCAATGTGAATCATATATTACACATGTTACAAGTGGCAGTATTTGTCTGCAGCTTTAAGTGTGGACTTGTGTCACTTATGTTGCTGATATTTATCACCGGTATTTCATCAAGGTTTGGTGTTAACGGTATATTTATCAATAGGCTATTCATGAAGGTTAGTGTTTATGGAAAGGGTTTGTTCTGAGATGTGAGCAGAAATATGTGAAGGTAAACATACAAATTTTTAAGACGTTTGCTGTCAGCAATGTGTAATTTTAGGTTTTGCATGAGTTCTTTTTTATTTTCAGCTGAATATGGAGACTATGATTATGAACGTCATACAGTGGATTTCTTCAAAGACAACAAGATCCAGCTGTTTCCGAAGGTGTGTTCCTCCATGCCTGTGTCGGCACCCCTATCAGATAGGTGTAGAATGAGTGCTTGTATTGTGGTTGTGACACTCTTTATTTGTGTCCACTGACTCACTAATAACTGGAATAAGTTAAGAAAATCGGTTCACACACATGTCAAGCATGTGTCATACAGATGGAAACATAGATGTTTATGTAAGATTGAGCTAGCCAACATGTTTAAGGTTTGAAGAGATGGTTGTGTAGCCAAGTGGTAAAGGTGTTTGCTTGTCAGTAAGGGTGAAACGATACACCGATATTCCGATGCATCGCGATACTTGACCCACAGTACGATATATGATAAACGTGGGCCCATTTATCGATACGCCACGATACGGAACGCAAATCTCAAGTACAGCCTTTCCACGCTATTGTGTCTTTCAATAAACAGCTAACTTGGTTATAGCGCGGTAACGCATGGCTCCCCAAAACGTACTTACATTTTTAATAAGCTCAGGTTTTACACTGACAGATGTTACTCCCCATCTCAAAAAACATTATCAGCTGATCACCGCAAGTACATAACAACGGAAATACCAGTCAGCAAAACCGAACTGAAGTACGCAATTCAATGCCATCATTACACTATCTTGTTATTAAAACGTGTTCATTGTATATCTGGACATGTGTTTGTATATTTTATTAATTTTATTCAAAATTTCATTTAATATTGTTTTCATTAAGTTAGGTGAAATCGTGTGTGAAGAGATACAGCAACCACGGTCAGATTACCGCTTTTGACGCATTGAAACGAACTTTAGTTGCCAAAGAATGGATACATACATTAAAAATTACATACTTTGACTCGTTAAAAGTCATATTCGTGGCAATTTGGCTAATATATTTCAACATAACATTTTCGCAATTGAAATACCTGTCGCGGGGAAGTCCCTACGGTGACTGGTGAAATTGTTCCATACGTAAAAATATCCTGCAACAGCAATCACCAGTACCAAAATGCTACGCTTGTGGTTTTTATAATTTTAAATACATATAGAGTAAAAGCTGCAACTAAAGTAACACAATATTGGAATATATTATTCCTGATAAAACAATAATTTCAGATACAATTTCTTCGACCATTGCATACAAATTCTTTGAAGTTGTATCACTGGTGAAGTACATTAATTATTTTCTGGTGTTTGAACTTTGAATTGTTTTGAAGGAAAGTTAGAGAAAGTTCCACTTTGAAGCTTAACAACTTCAATAGTCTTGTTATTATAAAATAATGTTGACTGTTCCAAAATCATGAAAGGTTCAATCTTGACATGCTTTAAGTCTTGTTTTTGTATCATTGTGTATTGAGATACGTATCGTATCGTGACCAGAATATCGAGATGTGTATCATATCGTGACCTTCCTGTATCGTTGCAGCCTTACTTGTCAGACTGAATACCTGAGTTTGATTCCTTACAAGGCATCAACTGTGTGAAGCCTATTCTTGGTGCTTCAACCTTGTATCTCCAAAACATGTTTTTTCTCTGCCACAGACAATGACAAAGAACGAACAGACCCTCCTGGAGCTGCTGATGGAGGCCCTGAACATGCATTCTAGTCTCCAGGGTTACCACCCACTGAAGGCCGAGATACAGTACGTAAAGGAGGTGCAGCTCATGGACGGTTACGGAATGGAATACTACACTGCTAAAGTAAGTCAGGGTGATACGAGTCTCGTACCCTCTTACCACAAACAACTGCCTCCGTGGTCCAGTGGTAGAGCATACGCCCGGAGAACGGAAGGTCGGGGGTTCGATCCTCGGCAACGTCATACCAGAAGACCTTATCAGATGGTATTTGTTATGACCCTGCCTCGCTTGGAATTAAGGACTTGACGGCTCGGAGTCAGTGTGCTCTGTCTGAGTAGGGTATTCATGTTAAAACTGTGGCATGGTATCTCAGTGTGCTAGCACTATAAAATTGGCATTAGTCTGGACTAGTACACGCAGACGCGCTCTCGCACACGCACACATGCACATTGCTATATAAGTGCAACAATCTTACCTAATAACAAAATATATTGTTTTCTTAATGACTGTTCTGTTAAGAACCCTTCCCCCCCAGCTGAGAGAGCTTTGGTTGAGGTGTGTGTAGGGTATGTGATATGATGTCTGTCTCAGTATATCTCATCCTACCTTGTCACATACTCTTGAGTAGCCTGGTAGTAAAAGCATTCACTCATCACACCACAGGCCTTGGTTTGATTCCACATATTGGTGCAATGTGTGATGGCCATTTCCACTGGAATATTGCATAAACCCTACCCTACTCACTCATGTACAAAGATCTGGATGGCCAGTCATCATCTTGTTAAACAATCTTCTACAAATCACCGGATTGTCATGTCACAATTAACCATGCTCTCATTTTGAGTTACCTTATTGAGTGCTCTGTCCAAAACAAGATAGATAATCAATATTTCACCCAAATTAAGACTTGGTAACTTGTAAACGTGAAATGATAAATGTGCTACATGATTGTATCAACAAGGTAAAAAAGGGGGATGTACAGGTGTCGGGGTGTGCCTTCAGCTCACTGGTAACATCTTGTGTGGTTATTGCAGGATGACCGGGGGAAGGAGTTGTACCTGGGCTCGTCTGTGACAGGTATCTTTGCCCGCTACCTTGATGGACAGGCTCCTATCTTCTTCAGGTGAGGTCCTACGTGTTCTGTACTCTCCTGTCTACAATTGTATTTTGCCCAATGGGGATTCCAGGTTAGAATTGATCCCCAGCAACCCATGCTGGTCGTAAGAGACAACCAAATGGATCCGGTGGTCGGGCTTGGTGTGCGTTGTTCACAATATGAATCACTGGATAGTCCAGACTTGATTATAGGCTGCGTCTTATTGCTGGAATATTGCTGGGTGTGGCGTTGGACAACCAAGAAACAAACAATTGTGTTTTGTAACTGATGAAGGGACTGCACTTAGGATTTGGGTTCATGGCTGTTGGGATTCTAGGACAGAATAGCTTCCTTGAATACCATGCTTGCCTTAAGACTTTCAGGTGATGGTGTGCCCCAGTTGCTGATAGGTTCAATATAAGACTTGGTTTAATTCCTAATGAGGGTCAATATTGTGAAGTCCATTGTTAGTGTCATCAACCCTGATGTAGCTGCATTGCTGTTAATATCAATGTGAACCAGTTAATACCAATGTGAACCAGTTAATACCAATGTGAACCAGTTAATACCAATGTGAACCAGCCAATGTGAACCAGTTAATATCAATGTGAACCAGTTAATACCAATGTGAACCCGTCAATATCAATGTGAACCAGTTAATACCAATGTGAACCAGTTCATACCCATGTGAACCAGTTATTTGTAAACGACAACAAACCAGACATACTGCATTTCTCGGAATGGGATGAGCATCAGTGTCCAGGGGAGACAACTCTCCAAGAGTGTTGGTAACCGTGAAGGTAATCGCTGTCTTATTTACAGGTGGGGAGAAATAGCCAAGTTGTCACAGAACAAGAAGATGATAGGAATTGACACTTCCAAGAGTTCAGGCCAATACCAGATGGTGAGTTGTCCAAAGCTTTAGTAATCAGTAGGGGTGATAGGACATTTTGATTTTTGTACATGAAGGTAAGATAATGTAATATAACAATGTACTTATATTCTCGTTGTCTTTAAGGATTATATAAATATTTGAAGGTATTTAGGGGCAGTGGGATAGCCTAGTGGTTAAAGCGTTCGCTCATCACGCCGAAGACACAGGTTTGAATGCCCACATGAGTACATTGTGTAAAGCCAATTTCTGGTGTTCCCCGATGTGAAATTGCTGGAATATTTCTAAATGCAGCGTAAATCCTCAATCACTCAGTTGAAAGTATTTAATAGTTCATTTCACTCTGTTCTGCCATGTGTTGCCGTATCTGAGTTCGACTATTACACTTCCTTAAATCAAACAGTGCGTGTTCGAGCACCACTGACGACACACTTCCTGACAAAATTTATAATCGTTCACTTGAGTGTTTAAATAATTCAGTGCTCTGTTAATTCCATGAATTGATTATGTAGGTATAAATAATTGACAATCAAATGTCCATTTGTGAAAGATGATTGACTGTTAAACAAAAGAGTCACAGATGTGTTTTAAGTGTGATTAATGGAGGAACATTTAAAACATTTTAAAAAAGTAATCATACTGGTCATTGATTATGACCCCTCCCCATAAGATTGATTTTATGACTTACAAGCAAAGGAAACTGTAAAGGTTTCATTTGTTTCAGTAAAAAATGTAAATGTTCTGATTTTTTCTAAGTGTGGATGTCTGAAATATTGGATTCAGGTCAATTGAATGTGAATATTTAAAACAAATATGTCAGTGTAATGATGGACTGTATATGCTTTTAATATTTTGGTTATGTCGTAATATCTTACTCTGTAAACCTTATTCAGCACTGACTGAAAGCCCCTCTAGGTATATAATCAGAGCTCCAGATAAGCTTTTGGTGTTGTGGGTATTTTACTCATGCATTTTAAAATCATTGGGTATCAGTAATTCTATCTGGGTATTCAAATTTCTGTTACCCACTAGTTTTTACACATGTGGGTATTTAAGTTAAACATTTAAAAACACTATTCATCTAGTCCCTGCAAACTGGTGTCGTGTGGGTTCGAGAGCTTTATAGGACTCAAAAATACCACGATACTTCCACATGAAAGTGTGATGGCAAATGATCATGATGTAACTGTCATCGTGGAGTTTGGCAAGGTTGACGGAATGCCTGTTTATAATTTCAAAATAATTTGCTGATTTGCTAATCAAATACGCAGGGTTATTTCGCAATATTTTGATGATACACACAAGTTTTATTTTTGTAGCAAATCTGTAATGTTTGTTGCGTATTTGATACGCTTGGATTTTTTTTTTACTGCATATTTCTGCATTTCTGATGCATATTTTACGCAGATACGCAGCTTATCTGGAGCTCTGATAATGTTCCAGGTATATGTGGTATGAATTGTGTGTATTCTTGTGGCTTTCTTAACAGTGTTTACTGTTCAGGTTTCCGTGAATCACCACAGTTTCATGAATGTTGTTTTTGCAGGAGGACTCGGACAATGCCAAGTATTTCTCGCGTATGGCACAGCTGCAGCTCAAGTTCTACAAGTCAAGCAAGAGCAACCTCAAGTAAGTGGGGAAGGGAGATAATCCATAATCTAACAAAGTAACATTCATCTTCATGATTAAAAACTGCATTGTTACCATGGCAACTAATTTTGTGAATGTGTCGCATGCTGACTTTGAGTATGTTTGACTATTAACAGCAAATTATCGTTAACAAGTCTTGTGTTTTCCTTCAGTACTGTAATAGGCATGTGTGACAGTGGTAGATGAAGCATGGTGAAAATGGTTCTCATATTAAGTCCTCTTATGGAACAGGTGCAGATTAAGCATGGAGACGTATTCTGTCTTCTTTGTACAGTCGTCTTGTAGAACAAGGGTAGGAATTAGCAGCACAGCAAAGATGTATGATATATTCAACATGAACAGATAGTGAAACTTTGATGAAGTCGTTGCTTTGTTTTTCGTACAAAATGTTTCTATGGTTACCCAGGAACCTAGAAACAGTTAAGACATCCCTGAAATATCATTGTCTGTACAAGTGACTTAGAGAAGAGTAACATTACTTGTTGAAATATCCTTTTCCAAATTATTTGATCAGATATGTTACAAATACCTCCAGTTACGGAGATACAGAGCTTGATTGTGTTTTCTGTATGCATATTGTATTGGTGCAAGTCTTGTGCATGTAGATAGCTCCAGATGCACTCTCTCTGTTGGGAACATGATGCGATTCACAATTGGTTAAAAACAATATTTTTAGTTCCCAGGTCAAATCAGCAACTCATCCTCACATAAAACTGAAGTAATAAAGTCACATCCCTTGGGTTGCACAAGTCTATTTCTCTCAGAGTGTGCAATCTAAGGGTCATAACTTTATTCTAATTTCATGATAAAAAATCAATTGTTACTTATGCAGGAGTTTGAATGATAGGGAAGGCCTGGGCACATAGAAGGGTAATTTACTGTATTCACTTAAGAAAAGGCAGTGGAAGGCGCTTATTAAAACCGTTCTGAAACGTTATACATTATCACATACTGTTTCTGGTGTTCACTTTCAGAAAAAAATGTGAACATTCAATATGGTGAATACGGTAATAGAATGAGATCACAATCAGAATGAGTGGTGTCATAGGATTCACTGAGGGGTGTCTAATTCAAAGATGACCCCAGAATATTTGATAAACAGCGAGGAACTAGACACACTACTGACAGTACTCGCAGCAAGGAGTGTGCATCTTCCATTCATCTGAGCATCTTGTCCTGCATGTTGTATTTGTTTCAGTGGCAGCCTGACTGATCTTCATCTCGCTAGTAACGAACATGAAGCAGCGATTCAACCGTAAGCTATAGATGGATATTGTAGATGTGGTCAACATGCTATATACTAACTCAGTATTCTGTGTACATTCTCATCACTTTAATGGCAGTGCATGATAAGGAGATCTGTTAAAGCTCATTTAATGTAGTGTGATGATGTGAACAATTATATCCTGGTGTATAACATGTGTATACCATGTTTGAATGTTACAGTATTTCCTCTTATGTATGTATATCTGATAATGTGTCACCTCATTTTTAAAATGAAAAAATAATGTTCATGAATGTGCTTAGGTACTGCTATAGCAAGGCACAATAGCAAGAAGAGGTTGTTGTGGAATCATCTTGACTTTGCTTGAGCATGCCCTTTTAGTTTCTGTACCTGGAGACTTACCTTTTGATTATGAGCGATTTTCATGTCTCGACTCAGTGATGCGTCTTTCCGAGGCAACAGCGTTAACTGACTATAAAAGTCCAGTTTCCACCCTTGCCAAACTAAACTGGAAATCTGGACTATGCATAGTCCAATCAAAATCGCGTAATGAACTTGACATCCGGTTTGTAAACAACATGGATTTCAATGTGCAGATTTGGGTTGACTGCAGGATTTGCAAAGCATGTTGACCGCCAACGGGGCGTCAACCGATATTTTTCAAATCTTTTCATGCTTTTGATTAAGGTGCTGGGAAAGACCCATTTTATTACAATATAGGTCTTGATTATTGATCAGATCGTCTTGACTGGGCACCACCATTTTGTTTGAAGCAAATGCAAGAAATGTGAGAGATGGAATCTGATTGGTCGGGGAACATAGAAGGGACATAAATCGTAATAGCCACTGGAATCTGATTGGTTGGGGGACATAGAAGGGACATAATTCGTAATAGCCACTGTTGGCGTAACGATCAAGCCCAGAAACTCCAGCCTAGTTCGGCAAGGGTGGAAACTTGGCTTTTATAGTCAGTAAACTCCCTTGCCTCAGGAAGATGTCAGTGATGATGAGATGGCATAAGTTGGTGCTTTCTACATTCATAGCCTTCATTGCATTACATTGTCAAAATGCTGTGAAGAACACTTCATTCATGCACTCAATGATACCGCTAGCTGATAATCATGTATGTTATCCTCTTCCCGAGGCTTTGGCTTCAAACAAAATGATCGATAATCAAGATCTATATTGTAACAAAACGTGTCTTACCCGGCAAAGTGCATCAAATCACTTGAGCTCCTTGATTAAAAACATGAAAAGATTTACAAAATATCTGTCAACGCCCTGTTGTCTGTACACATGCTTTGCAAATCCTGCAGTTGACCGAAATCTGCACGTTGAAATCCATGTTGTTTATGAACCGGATGTCTAGTTCGTTACACAAATTTCATTGGACTATGCCTAGATCAGTCAAAATGTTACTCCATAGTTCCAGCCTGGTTCGACAAGGGTGGAATTGGACTTGTATAGTACGTTCATACCCTTGCCTCGGGAATATGGTATATTATTCATGGTAACAAAGTTGAACAGCTGAAATACTTTGCTTTCAGGTGGTCAACTGGCATCATAATTGTAACTTTGCATGCAGCAATATACTAATACCACTATTCATGACACAGTGATGACTGGACTTACCTTTCTACTTCCTAGTAAACCATGGAGACACCAGGGTAGCCTAGAGATTGAAGTGTCTGCTAGTCACGCCTACGACCTGAGTTCCGTTCCCACATTAGTGTCATTTGTATGTTATTATTGGGTACCATTCTGTGAAGTTGCTGCAAGTCTGAGGCCTGCATCACTTCGGGCTGTCCTCCAACAGTAAGCTGACACAGCGTAATATGACTGGAATACTGTTAAAAGTGGCGTTAACCCATCTCACTCATTAAACGTGACTAATGTGTTCTCCTGTATTCCAGGGATGTCCAGCAGGTCATGCTGCCTCAGTCCGACTCCCAGGAACTGGTAGGTTGCACCCGACAAGGGTTGTGTCATGTGTCATATGGCGTGTGTATCACTACTGTTTACAGTGCCTGGTGGGTTAAAGTGTTTACTTGTCATATCGTACGTGAAGATCCGGGTTAGAATAGGTCTTCAGCAACTTGTGCTTGCCATAAAAAGGTGACAATGCTTGTCATTAGAATCGGTGGTCAGGCTCGCTGACTTCGTTGATGCATGTCATCATATTCAAGTTGTGTAGATGGATACTGATGATGTCAATCACTGGATTGTCTGGTCCAGACTTGATTTTTTACAGCCTGCCTTCATATAGCCGGATTATTGCTGAGTGCGGTGTTAAACAACAAACAAACAAACAAACAAACACCTGTCACATTGATGATGTGATGGCTCAGGGATCAGAGCACAAAGCAAGCTTAGCGTTTTGACATCGTAACTTCCATATTACATAGGCTTACATTAGTCGAAGTGCTATGATTGCTTTGTGGAACGGGTTTGATTTACCACATGGTTCAATCTGTGAAGTCCATTTCTATTGGCCACTACTGTGATATTGCTCGAAATATTGCTAAGACTGGTGTAAAGCTATCAACATGCTGGATGTTAATGTAATGTATTCTATTTTCAAAGTTATTACAAGACTTGTAAGAGTGGTTTCTGAGAACAAACTTACTTCTTACACTTCCTCTCTCACACCAAAAGTTGAAAAATGTTGATGTTATAATTTCTATCATGTGAGGTTACACAATATACAGCTTTTCCATTGGACGAAACATCGGCCACATGACTGAAGTTCATTGTGTATGAACGACACATTTTGACTGTACTCGTGAAATGATGTAAATGACTACTTTCACTACATTCACCCCTGGGAATTCCCAAGCATGAATTCCCTAGCACCATACTCACTCACTCACTCACTCACTCACTCACTACAGCGATCTATGAATTTACCTTAGTTTCTATTTGACACATTTTTCAATGATAGGCCAATTGAGAAATGATGACCAGCCTAACACTTGTAATCGATACAGGTTCAGTAACAACTTTGGAATTCTCTCCTTCATGTTTAGCGTGTCAGCCATTTTGACGTTTTGCACTTGATGTAAATGTATTACGACACGACTTGCTTGGGTAGTTCTTAACAGACCTTTCTCATCTAATAATGATAATATTCGAATACATTTGTTGTAATAAAACTACAAAAGATGTCACTGTTAGCATACATACCCTCATGTCACCTCTCCTTTTGGGGAACTATTTCATTCTGTGATACAGTGGGTTGTTGTATGGCTGTCAATGTAAATAAGAAGTCACACGTACTTAATATAATTGTGTATAGAGCAAGGTCTACGTCCTTCGAGGTGAAAAATAGTGATATAAAAATTATACGAATTGACTTTCACTTTGTGTGAGTTCATTGGTGTCTAAGCGATTGTGCTAAGAAAGTGTTATCCAAAATATAACATCGGTTAGTGTTTAGTTCATTGGAGTATGAACCTTCATAGAGAGAGCCAAACATTGTATGAATGTCATCACAAGCTCCGACGTTCATACAGTTTGTCCCTCAATCTATGAAGGTTCATACTCCAATGAACTAAACACTAACCAATGTTATATTTTGGATAACACTTTCTTAGCACAATCGCCAGCACACAAAGTCAGCGATCTAACCCACTCAGCCACCGAGGCTTCCACAAAATGAAAGTCTGACAGCTGGTAGTCTAGATCACGCACTTTGAGTACCCCTCTGACAAGTGTAAATTGGCAAGGCTCCCAGGACCGAAAGCTATGAATACACAATGCCATTTAGAAACGAATCGAAACGGGACTCATCACAAAAAAAGTACGAGAATCTGTACTTTACTAAGAAAGTGTTATCCCAAATATAACATTGGTTACATTTGACCACTTTCTAAATGGCATTGTGTATTCATAGCTAAACACTAAGTGAAAGTAAATTATAATTGATCTTTAAACCATTTTCAACATTTTGATGAGACTGTAAAGTTATGTAACACTGCATTATAAATTAGTGTATTTTCACTTTGTTTCTGTTCTGTTTCTCCAGACAAACTCACAGACGTCCCTGGTGTACCTACAAGAACAAAGGTACTCCCAAGGTAAGATCGTATTTCTGTGTCGACCACATATTTCTGTGGCGACCACGTATTTCTGTGTCGACCACGTATTTCTGTGGCGACCACGTATTTCTGTGGCAACCACGTATTTCTGTGTCGACCACATATTTCTGTGTCAACCACGTATTTCTGTGTCGACCACGTATTTCTGTGTCGACCACGTATTTCTGTGGCAACCACATATTTTTGTGTCGACCACTGTTTCTGTGTCGACCACTGTTTCTGTGTCGACCACGTATTTCTGTGGCGACCCCGTATTTCTGTGGCAACCACGTATTTCTGTGGCAACCACATATTTTTGTGTCGACCACTGTTTCTGTGTCGACCACTGTTTCTGTGTCGACCACGTATTTCTGTGGCGACCCCGTATTTCTGTGGCAACCACATATTTTTGTGTCGACCACATATTTCTGTGTCGACCACGTATTTCTGTGTCGACCAGCCATAAAATGATGGTGTAGGTGACAACCATGTATTGGTGCTGGGGCGGTCGGGTAGCCTAGTGGTTTAAGCGTTCGCTCGTCATGCTGAAGACCCGGGTTCGATTCCTGACATGGGTACAATGTATGAAGCCCATTTCTGGTGTCCCCCACCGCGATATTGCTGGGATATTGCTAAAAGCGGCGTAAAACCATACTCACTCACTCACTCACTGTATTGGTGCTGGTGTAGAAATAGGTCACTATCTCCCATCCAGCTTGTCCTGAGGAACTTGGTTCAGAAGTCTACTGAGGTAACACTACTACTAGTGATCCTTAAGATTGAGTAGGCATTGAAATAACTGTGTCTTTTCTGTCCTGTATCGTGGTCAACAGTAATTGGTAATCCTAACCACACAAGTCTTGCTTGCAAATATAATGTTATGTGATCTATCAAGTAGTTTGGTTACTTGGTATGCTAATATATTATTGACAGTGACTCTGTTACTCAGCTGTCATCAGCTGTAATCAGCTGTATTGACTATGTGGTTGGTTATGTTATCTTAACAAAGCATCGGTTAAGATTTCCAGTACAGGACCACGTTCCCCAAAGCAATCTTATTGCTACAATTGCCATAAATCTGTGTTCATGTTACCTCTAATATCGCTTTTTGCAATGGGGCCCAGTTTCTTTAACCGTGATATTTTTCTACTCTTCCCACTCTTTAATGCGGGATAGGTATACAAATGTAAAAAACATTTAGATTTTACATATATTTTATTGTTTTTGAAGCTGTTGACAGATTCACTGACTCAATATCATCTTTTTGACAGAGTTTCAGCAACAACAGCAGCAGCATCAACAACAGCAGCAACATCAGCATCAATCCCAGCAGCAGCTGACATCAGCAGCAATGATGACTGAAGATTACTACAACAACTCTCAGCAGAGTCTTGACAAATCCATGCCCGACGTCCAGCAGACGCCAAGAGCTGAGAGTGACCCTGGCATCCATGGTGGCATGTATGGTGGTCAGCAGACGCCGATGCAACCAGCAGTGCAGACACCGGTGCCCCAAAATAATCCGAGATCGGCCATGTTGCCAGCTTACAGACCGGCTCCTACATACGAGGCTGTCATGAGACATCGTGTTACTCATCAACAGCAGCAACAGCAACAACAGCAACATCAGCAGCAACAGCCTGATGTGAGTGGTCAGACTCTGGGGAACTCTCAAATCTACACCCATCCCGAGGGTGTGGCTTACAGCCAGCCAGAGATCAGACAGCATGTGTCATCGTACCCCAGTGAGACGCAGTATGTTAATGCTGCAGCAATCAGAAACTACAGCCATTCAATCTATGCAAACGTTTTCCATGACGGACACAATTATTACGCTTACAGATCGGCAGAGAGAGGTAACAACCTTGCTGTCCACCCAACTTACAGTTCCCCAGAACTAAACACACAAGGACTGCCTGAACAGTATGCAGACAACCTGATGAGTGAATCTCTCGCCTACCAATACCGTCCTCCTCCTCCCTACCCACGAGCCAGCAGTAGCACTCCAGACCTGGCTGTGCAGACAGGCATCACTTCAGCCAATCAGGCTCCGGATCTCCTACCCCAGCAGAACTCTGGGAAAAGTACTCTCGCTGCTCAGTCACGATTAGATAAAAGTGTTGACAACCTGTCTGAAGTTGTTCCTGTGGCCAAGGATGTTGGAAGAGTGATTCAGATTGAGCAAGACAAAGAGGACACTTCGAGTGAAAATTCTTATGCTACGTTTCATGCCAAAGAGAGCGACAGCTCAGACAATGAGAGTATTAAGCGGGAGAGGGCAGGGTCAGAGAAGTCGAAGATTCAGGTCTGTTTAGTGGCACCAAAGGAAGCCCCTCCGCCTTCCAAATCCAAGGAGGTAGCAACTCTGAGAGAAAGTTTCCGACGGATGATGATTGCGAGATCGGGATCAATGAACAGTGGTAAGCAGAAGCCAGTGATCCATGTCACATCTAATGGCGGGAAGGACACTGAGGTGAAATCCACAAACATAGAAAGTAGTCTTCCACGAGTAGAGGAGCAGACGGACAAAAGTGTTCAGCAGACGTCACCTGTTGAGCAGCAGACATCAGCTGACTCCCAGCTTGGCCTGAGGCCTCCCCCTCCTTATATAGCTCCCAGAGAGACTGGTAAAGGGCAGTCGGACAATGTTTCCAAGAAGAGTGACAGTGATGCTGAAAGTATCCAGTGTCTGGACATGACCAAGGTCAGTGAGGAGGCTGGCCATAAGGTCACAGAGTCCTTGGACTCCACCAACTCCCAGCAGGACAACGATGACGGGTCGGACAGCGATATCGGCTCTGTTGATGTAAGACTTCCACTTAGTTTCTTGGTGTCATGTTTCATATTATCTTGACAGGAATTATTTTGCATACAAGGTTGTAGATTTTAAACACTTAAAGTAGTTCTTTTACTTTTGGCCAGGTCACACCAAAAAAAACATTCCATGGTGAATGATCATACTCATCATGATCATTAAATAAAATTATATTGATGGTTTTAGTACCAGAATACTGAAAAAATGTATCAAAAACATGCCTTGTTATAGATCACTTTGACCGCCTCCGTGGTCTAGTGGTAGAACTTCCACCCGGAGAGAGGAAGGTCCGGGGTTTGATTCTTAGCCGCATCATGCCAAAAGACGCAAAAATATGGTACTTGTTGTTACCCTGCCTGGCGCTCTGCATTAAGGGGCTAAAACAAGAACTGGTCGGCTCAGAGTCAGTATACTGTGTCTGAGAGGGGTATTCATGTTCAACTGCGTCATGGTATCTAAGTGTGCTAGCACTATAAAATCAGCATTTGTCCGGACTAGTATTAGCAGCCACACACACACACGCACACACATGCATGCACGTCACTATATAAGTGCAATAATCTGGATGTGATGTTAAAACCTCATTTCACCTCACCTATAGATCACTTCACCATATAAAGGCTTTTGTTTATGACCAGATGTATCAGTCGTGGTATTTGTTGACTTTCCCCAGGATGCTACAGTGAAGAGGGTTAACATGGGGCCTCTCAAGGTTGCAGCAATGAATGGCCTAAGTCTGTCAAGACCAATGGTGCTGGCTCTCATGAACGATGAAAGCAGAGCTCCTAAAGACGAGAGGGTATGTACAAGGGACAATCACAAACCTTTCTATAGGACAAGTATACAATCTCTTAGAAGCAAATGAAAGTAGTTCATTGCAGACTGACCTTTTGAATGATACGATACATTTAATGTTGGTGATGTATGCCATTGGCTTGTGAATATACTTGTAATCTCTTTAGGTATCTCTGAGGCAAATAATTAACTACAATTAGTACAAGACTCTTTATTTGTAGGTACAAGCTTTCATATGTTCTGTCATATGTTCAACCTGGATTCAATAATGTAACAAGCAGTGCATTAAGTTGTTATTGGTTCCCCATCCTCCCCAGCAATATATCCTTATATCCCCCCAGTGATATATCCTTATGTCCCCCCAGTAATATATCCTTATGTCCTCCCAGCAATATATCCTTATATATCCTCCCAGTAATATATCCTTTTATCCTCCCAGCAATATGTCTTTATATCCTACCAGCAATATATTCTTTTATCCTCCCAGCAATATATCTTTGTATCCTCCCAGCAATATATCTTTGTATCCTCCCAGCAATATATCTTTATATCCAACCAGCAATATATTCTTTTATCCTCCCAGTAATATATCTTTGTATCCTTCCAGCAATATGTCTTTATATCCTCCCAGCAATATATCCTTATATCCTCCCCAGTAATATATCCTTATATCCTTCCAGCAATATGTCTTTATATCCTCCCAGTAATATATTTTCTTGTATCCTCCCAGTAATATATCGCTAAAACACAATTGTAGAATGCATTCTATATATATATATTGCTCCTTTTTCGACACCTTATCAAAATAGTGTACATAATAGTGCCTGTGATGAGATATTGTCAGTATTGCAAAAACTGTACAGAGGTTTTAGAATCTATATAGAATGTGTATGGATGTTGTTGTGTTGTGTTCAGCGCAAGATTCTAGAGAGTAAGATCTCTGAGGGACAAGTGTTTGTGGAGTTTGAGGAGGTCCCCAAGAAAGCCCCAAGTCAGGAGTTTGCCATTGCCAAACTTGCCACCAACGAATCAAGGAACAGATTCAAAGATGTGCTCCCCTATGATGCCACAAGGGTGAAGTTGTCTCCAAGGAAAGACAACCAATCGGGATATGTCAATGCATCTCACGTAAAGGTACATTGTGTGATGAGTTGTTGATACAGATTTAGATAAAATAGAACACACATTGATTATTGGCAGTGTCTTGGGCACATCGGTATTCTGATTGCAGTTCAAGTAACATTTTATCATGGTGATCAGTTTTGGTTAAAAATTATTTTAAAATTGGTTATTAGTATGGGAAGATAATTTTGACGTTCCAGTCACTGTTTGTGGCGGTAGGGGAAACATGAATGATATTGGGAAGGAACAGTTTGCAACGTGATTCCTCCATGAATATTAATTGAGATGATGCTGTTCTGTAATGATAAATCCGATGATGTTTTTGTCCAGCTCGAAGCAGAAAACAATGACTGGTGGTTCATCGCGACACAGGCCCCACTGGAGAACACGGTCGCCGACTTCTGGCAAATGGTGTGGGAGCAGGATGTGAACGTCATCGCCATGTTGACTGCACTGACGGTGAGTCAAGCGCATTCACAGTCAAGACATTAGGGTAGCCTTGTGATTAGAGCATTCGTTGTCGTGTAGTGTGATTCACTTGGCAAGTAGAAACTTTTAGTGTTCCTGCCCTTGGGAAGTAGGAAATTTTAGTAAATGAACACCCCTTGGTTATACAATGAGATGTATTTTATTACCTCTGTTACCATGGTTACAGGAACTTGGGAAGAACAAGTGTTATCCTTACTGGCCTCAAGAAGCAGGAACAGATACCAAGCAGGTGTTTGGTGATGTAAGTATTGTGGATTTTAAACACAGAACCTGTTGTGTTGCTGGACTATTTGGAATATATGGACTATTCACTCATCTTCCAGAGGCAAGGGAGATAAAAGTCTAGTTTCCTCCCTTGCCGAACTAGGCCGGAATATCTGGGTTCAATCGCAGCGCCACCAGTCGCCATTACAAGTTATGTCCCTTCCATGTCCCCCCTATTGAGCAATCAGATTCCAACTTTCATATAATTTACATTTGCTTCAAACAAGATCGCCCAGTACGATCTGATCTGATCGATAATCAAGATCTATATTGTAATAAAATGGGTGCTACCTTGTGAAGTGCATCAAATCATTTGAGCACCTTGATTAAAAACATCAAAAGATTTTGAAAATATCTGTCGACATGCTTTACAATTTCAGTTGATCAAGAATCTGCACGTTGAATTTCATGTTGTTTACAAACCGGATGTCTAGTTCGTTACGCGATTTTGATTGGACTATGCATAGACTCGTTAGTCCAGCCAAGATGTAACTCCAGAATTCCAGCCTAGTTCAGCAAGGGTGGAAACTGGACTTTTACAGTCAGTTAACTCCCTTGCTCGAGAAGATGGTCTTCATTTCTATCACTAAGTATCAGTATTAAATATTACATATTGCTTCTAGTAAATATGTTTGTTTGTTTCTTGTATGATGTCTCATTAAGCAGTTATCAAGCTATCTGACGGCGTCTCTAAATAATCAAATCGGGACCAGTCAATCCAGTGATTGTGATGTTTCGGTGTAGATACTAACACTGTTATCTTGTGGAACGTCACATTTATTGTAAGAAAGAAGTTGTATGTATATCCATAGAACTCTCTCCTTTGTTCATCATATCAACTGACCCGTGAAGATTCCGGGATAGAATAGGTCTTCAGCAACCCATGCTTGCCATAAAAGGTGACTATGCTTGTCGTAAAAGGCGAATAACAGGATCGGGTGGTCAGGCTCGCTGACTTGGTTGATACATGTCATCGATCGCAATTGCGTGGATTGATGCTCATGATATCAATCACTGGATTGTCTGGTCCAGACTTGATTATTTACAGACCGCCGTCATATAGCTGGAATATCGCTGAGTGCGGCGTTAAACAACAAACCAAAAACCATCATATCAACTTCTAAATGCCACCTAAAGAAGTTGCTTAAATGTTGTAAATGTATTTCTCATCTGTCCAGTTCGAGGTGACTCTCGAGTTCACGGACAACTCCTTGTGCTATGTGACAAGCCGCATCGTGGTGCGGCATCTGCCCAGCTCCAAGGAGCGGATGATATGGCACCTGCAGTACACGGACTGGCCGGACCACGGTTGCCCAGAAGATGTCTATGGGTTTCTAGGTAAGTAAGTGAGTCAGTGAATATGGCTACTCCAGCAATATCACTGTGGGGGAAATGGGCTTCACACATTGTATCCTTGTTGGGAATTGAACCCGACCCTTCGGCGTGACAAGCGATCGCTTTTACCACTAGGCTACCCAACAACCCTGTTTCTAGGTAAGAGCTTGTGTGTTGACTGGTGTTGTATAAAGAGTCAATCTAGGGAACATCGTGTTATACCTAAGGTCTATACAGAAACAAAGAGATAGAAATGTTATTGTTTTTCAAGTATAGAACGGGTGAGAATGTTCAGGTGTGCCATTTGGAGGTTAAGAGTTCCAACCAGAAGAAACGTTTTCAGTTAAAAAAAGTAGTAGGCTATTTGAAATTCATTATACTTGTCAGCATTATCTAACCCCTGTCATGCTGTCATTTAGTGGTAATGTCATTCAGGATTAAATATTGAAATATTTGCTTCACTAGGACAGGAATTCCATTTGTTTTTTTTGTAAATAGTAACCATTATGTCTTGAGCTGTCTGTATATTACTGTAGGTGAAGTAATTAAAAGGTACGACTAAGATAAATATTAATGATAGTATGTGTCTTTGGTTTATTTGTAATTTCAACAAACCAATAATTAATAGCTGTTTTGAAATCTTCGTAATATTTATGATGTTCCACAGAGTGGCGTTTAGAAGCTGATAAAGGCAGCTGTAGCTGTACACAATCTTTTGCAACACTACAAAGAAGGCAAAATGTTTAATGATTTCATCCTCCTGTATTTTGCTTCAGGATTTCTTGATGAGATTGAATCTGTGCGCCGCTTGGCTGAGAGTGAGGAGGGGAGTGGGAAGAAGGCCCCCGTGATCGTCCACTGCAGCGCTGGCGTCGGCAGGACTGGCGTTGTCATCCTCACCATGGTGATGAAGTGGTGCCTGGAACACAACCACGTAAGTGGAGCAAAACATGCGTCTCGGGGCCGGTGGCACAGTAGTCTGAGGTGCTGTAATTGACTATGAAGAGTTGCGCCCCTTTGGCATGCCAGGAACCTGTGATTGTGGGTTTGAACCCTGGTTCACCCTGATTATGTTTTTAGCATACCCATGCTCGTGGGTTTCACGAAAAAGTGGTATGAACGTCAGAGACCTGCATCACTTCGGGCTTTTCTCACACATTAAACTGACATGCTGTGATATAACTGGAATACTGTTCTAGCGGCATTAAACTGCACAGTCACTCACTCACTCACCCCGCTCCACTCACTCACTCACTCACTCACTCACTCACTCACTCACTCACTCACTCACTCACTCACTCACTCACTCACTCACTCACTCACTCACTCACTGCATCTTGTTCATGATTGTTACTTTGATTGAATTTAGTATGCAGAGACCAATTTGTAGTATCAATTAACGAATTACAGGTTGTGGTTGTCTTGTCCACGAAGACTTGTAGTTTCTTAGTGGCCTCCTGTTGCATGGAGATGCCAGCTATGTTCATGATGCTATTACAATAAGGATACAGATGTTCAGTAGTCTTATGTTTGTTAATCCTTGTATGGAATGTTCATTAATTAGACAACAAACACCTTTATATGCCAGGTCCTTGATCGTCATCTGTAGATAAGTCTGACAGTCTGTTCCAAAAATATTTGAGCCTGCTTGTGTGATCTTGGCTCTAAGCATCATTTTTAGTACATTTTAGTGTTATCATATGTTGTTTGTTAGTGGATCTTACTAGACCAAACAGAATTTTGCTTGACACAGGCTTCGGACTAGTGGCTAAAGTCGCAGTCTGGTCTAATATGTACGCACAGGATTTACACAAGATTTACACAGAAGGCCTAGGGCAGATAGTGACATATTCTGTACTTACAAATTTGTATGTTTCCTGTTACGAGAATCTGTACTTTACTTAGAAAGTGTTATCCCAAATATAACATTTGTTACATTTGACCACTTTCTAAATGGCATTGTGTATTCATAGCTTTCGGCCATGGGAGCCGTGCCAATTTACACTTGTCAGAGGGGTATTCAAAGTACGTGATCTAGACTACCAGTTGTCAGACTTTCATTTTGTGGAAGCCTTGGTGGCTGAGTGGGTTAGATCGCTGACTTTGAGTGCTGGCGATTAGGTGCCTCACTCTGGCAAGTGTGGGTTCGAATCCCGGATGGGACTCAACCCAAAAAAGAACGAGAATCTGTACTTTACTAAGAAAGTGTTATCCCAAATATAACATTTGTTACAATTGACCACTTTCTAAATGGCATTGTGTATTCATGGCATTGTATATTCATGTTTCCTGTTAGTTTGAGATTTGTTGCCTTCCATCAATGTTCCCATGCTGGCATGTACTTTGTGTGGTTTCAGAGCGTTGACCTGCCGAAGGCCCTGGAGGGGATCCGCAAGCAGCGAATGTACATGGTGCAGACACTGGGACAGTACCAGTTCATCCACAAAACACTCATCCAGTACCTCAAGAACACAAGGCTCATCTAGGGCTCCCCACACATATTGCTTTCACAAAACCCGCTTTCAAAATTCTGCACACAATATTACCATGGATGTTGAGACTGTGCAGAATAATGACAGTTTGAGATTAACAAGCTTGTGACCCAAGACCAAGAATGATAGGTGTTCTTATAGTCATATATATTTTACCATTGTTGTGATCTTTCTTGTAGGTATTCAAATTGAAGCTTTAAATATTTCATTGATGATGCATTGTCATCACTTGCAAGGACCAGCATGGAGAAAATTCTCATTCACATTTCCAGTACCGTATTCGACGTAATAAGTGTCCAGGGCGTTCTTAAAATTAGAAATAGGGGGCTCTTATTAGAATATTATTTTGGTGAAAAAAATAGAGTTGAAAGATAAATTTGTATGAAGTGTTTATGTACGACAGATATATTTTTCCAGAATTTAATTGCCCATAATTAAGGGTGCATATGACACACGAGTGCGTATTATACGTGAATAAATAAGTCTTGTGTGCATTAATCAATCGGAAGGGGTGCTAATTGGGATTGTTCACTAGCCAATACCTTAGCAAATGTCGCTGTGGGTGCTTATTAGAGCGGGGCGCTTATTAGTCGAATATGGTAATCCCTCCCGTCAACAGGTGCCCTTGTTAATCTTGAATATGTTTTTGTCAGCAAAGCATTCTGATCAAACTGTGCCTTTATTCAAAGGTAAAAGATATATCTGTACAAAAAAAATCAGTATCTACTTCAATACTGATTTAGAATTCCATTTTCTAGTAAAAAGTCATATTATAGGGGTTGATGATAAGGTTGCGTGAATGTGATTTTGGATTGGTTGCTAGTACGGAGTATGAAGATTAATTGCAGACATGCATGGCCTTCCTGCTACTGGTATGTTTAAGAAGCATTCCGAACATATATTGCTTGAGGTGCAGTGAATGGAGAGCGTGTCTACAGGATTCAGTTGTCAGTTGTCTCCCTTTGACATGTTTTAGAGGTTGACATGGAGGCTGTATATAAGCTTTATAGCGGCCATGTTTTAAGGCAATAAACATCTTTTAGTGCATGGTTGTCATATTATCATGGAGCAAGTTTTAACATTGTTATATTTTGTTGCAGAGATGAGGTTACTATCTCTTATCACACTTGTTGTCATCATAACAAATATTGCCATGGATATTTTGTCCAAATATATAGCAATATGTCGACAGGAACATTGTGGCCTTCTAGAACAAATGTAGGTCAAATACTGATTCTCTGTGATGAGAAAATATGAGATGCTAATGTTAGATGACAGTACTAGAATTTGATAAGGATCACATCAATATTTTTTATATTATATGTTGATGTTGGTGTACTCTGTATGAATTTATGTCAAGAATTTTTGTTTCACCAGAATATAAATTGTAAATAGAATGTGAACTGTATTTTAAGTAGTTAGCACCTTGCACACATACTGAGGTAGTATCTGTGAATGCTCTTCAGTGTTTGAAATCTGACATGGAGCAGTGCATAGACCTTTAACATGCTGCGTCTCTCTGGCCATTAACACAAAGCACTGGCACAAGTTAATGCAGCCACAGCTAATAAGCATTATTATGAAGCTATCTATGAGAGCACGTTGCTAATTACATGGAATACAGTATTTGTATGTTGAAATTGTGATATATTGGTAGTGATATAGGATGATATCTCTCATTGGGATTCCTTCAGTACGATGCAATACAGAGCAAAGATCAAACACGTTCCATCCAATAGAAACTGTTTGTAGTAAAGTGGTTGGGGGTCTTTCTGGTTGTAGTCCACAGAACAAATACAAGTAGATTTTTTTTATATGTGTAAGTTGTTTTACAACAGAATCTCAACCAGTCCCTCATAATATGGGAAATTGTGCTTTCTTGAATTAAATTTGAATTTGATAATTGTATATTTGCTTTCATGTCTATTTATTCCTTTCATTGTACCGTGTGTGTATGTGCTTTGCATTTAGTTTTCCCTACCCAAGTCTGTGCTGGGGGTAGGTTGTGTTCATTGTCAGAAACAGTGCTGCAAGTCCTCGGCTTCAGTCTTGCCTTGACTGTGGGCATCGCTTGGTAATGTTGGATTGACCTCGTGTGTTGCACAGGTTCTGGCAAATTTGGATGTAAATATTCAGTTTCGGCAAAAACCTTGTACAAAACGTGTCCTGTATCTATGAAATACAACTTGTGTGAACAAATATTGTGTGTTATTTCTGTAATAACAGACTCTCTGCGAATAGCTGCAAGACTGTTACTGCGGGGTTAAACATTAATCCCTCACTCACTGTAATTACACAAACCATCATCTACATATGTAAAGGCATTATTTTGTTTCGTGTCCAGAAGGTACCACTCAGTATATCAATGTTTTGCTTAACGGACTGAAGGTCCGCTTAATGTCATGACGTCTGGTGTGGTGTTTGTATGTACATTTGGGAATTCTACTTTGAAACCACGGAAATGCTGAAATTGCATGGCTCAGCATATGTTTACAGTGTCGTTTAAAGTTGATCCCTGAATTCTGATGTCTGTATTTGTTGTTTCAACTTTTATCAGTTTTTAAGGGAAATCAAAACCACTTTTATGCAACATGTATTTTCAAACAACGAGCAACATATTCATTAATATTATCTATTCTGTGATGTTAATGGTTTATCTGATAGTATATATCTTTTGACGATGGGGTCACTCACAGAAAATAGTCACCCCCAAACTTATGGACCTATACCTGACACTATGGTACTACACCCAACCAAATAAATACCAAAGTCACTCAAATCTTGCTACATGGCATGTAAACTGCAGGGTGCTTATGAGGTTGAGTACGGTAACTATTTAGGACACTAATGTTATACAAAAGTTGACACTGCCATATTTGTTTTCAATTTGCATGTTTCCATGTAACGGGATAGGCCTAGTCAGTGCTTCAGCAATGTTTGTGGAGTTTTGCAGATTGTAGATACACTTCATGGCAAATGTAAAGCTGAAACATCATTGGCATTTTTTCATTACTCGTTCAGTGACATGATGGTATTGTATTTGTCATACTCTTAGACTGAACAACACTTTACAAAATATTCACATAGGGTAATATAATCCATTCAATGTCCATGCATTCCTGTGGATCTGGTCATTCATTACAGGGGAGATATTTGGGTTTGAGATCAGCATTTATAAAAAAACATGAGCATAAACAGGCAGGGTACTTCATAAAAAAAATTTATAATAAATTAATATAACAAACTGTAATCTTTAGACACTTGTCTGCAAGAAAAGTGCACAATATTTGTTTTCCTAATATGTGAGGCATATGTATTTTTTTAAGGTAAACAAGGGCTTGATTATTTTTAGTATTATATTTAGAAACACACCCACCCCATTTCTGAAAATCAAATGGTTACTCCCTTATGTGAAACATTGTGACATGGAGGGGCTTTCACTACAACTGGCTATTACAATGGCTTTTGTTAACTCATGGAGGAAAAATCACCATAGCTCACTGTAATAAATGATCAGCCCCTTAAGTGAGGAGGGTGTATATCAGTAAGTATGTAATGTTTAAGCGTTGTGAATTGTGAAGTTATATTTTGTTACATGTCGAAAACAGGGTACAAGTTCCCTCCTGGTTGATGTCAGATGTATGAAAGATTCCTTCCTCTGTTAGTAGCTGCATTGTTCCTAACCATATACCTTCTTTCACTAATGCCTTGTGTTATCATTGTGATAGATGAAGACTGTTGTATAGTTGGTTATTTGTAAATATTGAACTGATTTCTACTCCAAAGCATTTCTACTTCAACTTCTTGACTGTGTTTTTCACATATATTTGATGTCTGTGAAAACAAGTGTAATGCCATGTGATAATTTGGTGAGGTTGCGAGTGGAGGTGGCTCTCCCTGAAAAGTTGTCTCCCTTTCGCTAGCTGCTGTTTTCAATTTCAGCTATCCATCCATCATTTATCTCTACACTGAAACAGATCTTGAAGCAAGTGATGGCATTTCTTATAAATCAAATTTTTGTTCATCTTTTCATTTCGATAGAGGGCAAGATGAAAACTGAAATTTCATGACAAATCACAGAAACGGCATCCAAGTCTGTAATAAAACATATACACTCAAAAGAAGTTATAGAACACCCAATTCTTTCATTTTACTATAGTTCATCATGCCATGACAGATAAACTATAGTAATATAAAAGAATCGGATGTTCTTTAACTTCTTTTTAGTTGTATACATGTTTTTTTAACCTATGTAATTCTTGATATGTTATAAGGCATTGTTTTGAAAATGGTATCATTGCAGTGTCCTGTGCTGTCATGTGAAAAAAAAAACACCTGAAAAGTTTAATTGTTTCAAGTTTTTGAGGAAAACAGTATTTTGGAACATTTGGAGTATGTTATTCTGTGAACTTGCTCCGAGTTTGGAGACTCAGTATGGTAATGCTGGGATGAATAAAGCACATTTGAAGACTAGTTATGACCACGGAGTAGAGTTCAGAACCATTGGAGCAGTTCGCATAGTGTCCTTAAGCTTCTGTCAACTGCGGTTTGCATAAGCCTGACTGTCTCATATTTTCATCTTCAGTTGGAATTGCCTATTCTGAAGAGTGACACTGGTAGGGCATATATAGAGTGGCAGTACAATACATAGCCAATCGTGCAAGAATATTTGTTATTCATTGGAAATCCCCAACATTTTTGTAAATAATACAAATCAGGCATGTTCTTGTATTATTTTCATGCTAGTTTTTGCCAGCTTGAACAGTATTCTTTAAGGAAGCATGTTACAACACTGAAGAAAGGAAGAAATTCTATTGTTACTTGTGTGATTTGTTACTCACATGTGGCCTGACAAGTGCCTTTTATAACAAAAATGAAATAAAATCTTCAAGAAAATAGTTGCCTTTTCTTTGAAAATAACTTTGTTGTTTGATGCCACACTCAGCAATGGTCAAGCTCCAAGAAGGCAGGCTGTAAGGCCTTTTATGTTTTTAGTTTACAAGACCGATTGACAAAAATCCCTGAAATTGATAAAAAGATTTCTTTTGACCCAAGAAATTTGGCCTACCCAGAGTTAAGATAGGTGAAATCAAAGACGGATGATAAAAACATAAGATTCTATCTCATCTATTCATAAGAAATGGTGATTAATATGTATAAAAATCCATTGTTCTTCATTCATTAGTAGCAGTACTAATCTGGAAGTTGAAAATTATTTTATTTTTTCGAACACATTGCATTTTAGGGAATTATTTTTGTAAACCAACTAATAAAAAATAAAAAGTAATTGAGTCTGGTGTAGAAAAACCCGTGTTTAATATCATGAGCAATGTCCCACGTCGGGGTGCAGTGACACAGAATCCGTCAAAGAACCTGACCGCCAGTTCCATGGACTTGCATCGTATGGTTATCTACAACCTGGAATAACCACGGGGAGAAAATAACTAACACGATGACTGATTATCTACCTGGGTAAATTTTGCTGTAATGACATCACTTGTGGTGTCTTTCATTCACTTACAAGGGACAGGAGTTCCCCTTTTCAGATGTCTTTTACCCTTGGTCATGTCAAGACAGAAAGGAAATGCTTTGTTATATCCCTTAGCCCTGCCGGAAACTGTTGTGTTCAAACCCAGTTATGATCCGGAGTCTGTCCGTTTCATTTTAGTGCTTGTGGGTTTCACCCAAGTGATACATTTTTAAGACCTGTTCCCTCATGAAATTGATATTATGTGTTATTATTAGAATATAGTTTTAAAACTTCACTGTAATCAGCCAATGAACAATAGGTAACAGTGGGAATTGTGTGACAAGGTAATATGTCTAAAGTAACTGAGTAGAGATTATACAGACTAAGGAGAAACTGGATTGGGGAGCCACAACAAGGCTTCAACAAGCATGACCCACGATGTTACCCAACAGCCATGTTCCAGTAAGTGAGTGAGTGAGTATGGTTTTACACCGCTTTTAGCAATATTCCAGCAATATCATGGCGGAGGACACCAGAAATAGGCTTCACACATTGTACCCATGTCGGGAATCGAAACCTGGGTCTTCGGCGAACGCTTTAACCACTAGGCTACCCAACCGCCCCTGTTCCAGTACGACATTTTGTGGAGGTGGTACCAATTGCTTTTTGACAAGGTGTACCAATGTTTTTAAAATTTGATATTTGATACACTGAGATTTAAGTTTAAATATCCCGAAGTCTTAAAGAAAGAAAAACGAATAGATATTCTCTTTATGGCCATTTAATACAATTAATACACTGAATTCAATAAATAAACATGCATCACAATATAGAAATACTGTCCTTCATACGTCCTTTTCACAACTCATCACCTTTGTCATGAGTGACGATACCCAGGCATCCTGATTTTATTTTATGAACCTATATCTTCCTGGTGAAATGAGAGAATAATCCATATACAATAAATACTTTCATTCTCACACCCATGATGGTTCTTGCACAGTCATTCCTCATTTAATCCAACATAAAATGGCTAAATTTATGACATGATACTGAAATGTACCACGATACTTTGTGATGTGGTTGCACACCTTGATGCAGAGTATTACTCCAGCAAGTACAGATGTTCAGACACTTATGATGGCGTTGCTGTTTATACCTGGGTCCTGTTCCACAAAGCGATCTTAGGTGGTAAGAACTCCCATACTTTAACCTAGCCATACGGCAGTTGTAGCACTAAGATCACTTGTAGAACAGGGCACTGGACAGTAGGTTTGTTTGTTGCTTAACACCACACTCCGCAATTTTCCAGCTGTATGAAGGGGGTCTGTAAATAATCAAGTTTGGACCAGACAATCCAGTGATTGACATCATGAGCACCGATGTACACAATTTCTTCTTACACAAATACCATACTACAGGAATGGGTTGGTGAGTAGGTCCCATAGATCTATTGGTAATTCCCTCATACAGCAGAAAATGCATCCAAATCAGATCACATCAACTTGGTCATCTTATTTTTTTCTTCATTTTCCTCTGAATGTCAAACCCTGTAAACTGATACTTCTCAACAGTTTTTTTATCTGAAAATTCACATTTCTCAATTTTTGACTTGGGACTTCCTGTATGCTGAAGCCATTTCATCCTGAAAAACAAATTAGACAATACACAGTTAATCAACAATAACTTGTCATATGAATTATTTAAAGTAGGAACAAAATTATTTCCGAAATGATATTCCATTATGTTAATACTAAGGATTTTTACAGGCTTATTTTGCAGCCAAATAGACTAAAATGATTGACAAAGAGAATTGGGATTTTTCTTTAAATGTATTTTATTGAGATAAACAACAGTGTTATCAACCTTATTCAATCTGATCACGAATTATAGATTGATGAAACTGATTAATCTGATCACCCACAGGATTCTGAAGTGACTTTAATATCAAAATGAATTTTAGTTTTTTTCCTTTGTCTACCGATTCCTGTTAATGTCTCATAAATACATCGTCCTAATGTTCTGTTAACTTACATCACCATGACATCATCTTCAGGGCCCTGCACCTCCCCCGTCACTGTCCCTCGGTCTGTGTTCTTCACCCAACCTCTCAGGCGGTACCTGTCTGCGGTCTCCTTGGTGTTCTGCTGGTCACAACAATGTGAACATCATACATTCATTAGCTAGAACCTACATTCTAGAGATCACATGGAAACATACTTCCTTTTCACCATGCTCGACCTTAGTACAGATTAACTTTGAAAATAATATTCATAATTCCTTAGAAATTACTGACTTTTTAACCACTCCTAGGAAGTTTCATTTTCAAGATGAATGAAAAATTCAGTTTTATGACATCCGATCCCTCCGGGCTACGACGACATAATCACAGATCCTGGCCACGACAAACATAGGTTACTGGGAATTCTACCTTGGATTCTTTGACGGACCGACAGACAGATGGACATAATACCTCTAAGCTCTACTGGCCAAAAGAAAGCTCGCAATCAATTTCCATTTGACTGTCCTCAGAATTAAGTTTAAGATCAGATAGGCCTAAACCTTGTCACTCTAGTCTTCACGCTCACCTTGCGAAAAAATACACCTGGAATGCAAAAGAAATTTATGAGATACATTATCATCCTGAAAATTAAATACACTTTTGCCTTTTTCTTATCTAATCTAGACACTGGATATATATTACAAAAACAAATCGCGTGAAGATTTTAAAAAGATTCAATGATATCAATGTTATCACTGGATACGCAATCCAGGAAAGTTATCTCCCTTACACATTCGTTTGCAGAACATTTGCATGTTTACTCTATTGTGAACTGTCTCATCGACCAAATACGTTTTCTGTAAACAATAAAAATTGTTCACAATGCTTTTCCAACATAAAACTACCTTGAACTTTCCCAAAGACCTCAAAGCTCACCGAGAGCAGCTTTCGGCCCCCTTCTGCCATGGTAACATTCGACTGGGCTCCTGTCTACCTAAATGCTTGAGAATCATTCATAAGCTGGTTCCCGGCTCCCTATGCACGTCGTCAACTTGCGCCAAGCTTAAATTGCGATATTATCCCAGCTAACATTCATTCATGTCTGCAAACATGACTCTTTCAGTTGTTGGTATGCGCAGTTAGCTATGCGCTATATACGAGCTGAGGAAAGAGCACCACCTAAAGGTGGTTTTTGTCAAAACTAAACTACCCTATCGAGCGTAGACTAACGCTTAGTCCCTGAAAATATATACCTTTCATGGGCGGATACAGCTTTTTTGAAAAGGGGGGTGCTCAATTAAGATCTATTTATTGTCTGTGGTGGTAATTTTTACAGAAAAAAAGATTTTTTTCGAAATAATCCAGTGAACTCACCCATGCAGGAACACACAAATCGCGGACCTTCTCCACCTATAAATGACAACCATCTGATCACGGCAAGACTCGGGCACGCAATTTAATTGTGGCTACGGTGATTGCAATGTACAATCTCATCAGACACAGATCTTACCGCGAGCTACTGCTTGTACTAGTCATGATTAGCCCGCTGAGATTCCATGCATTCGTGCGAGCTTGCGTACGTGCTAGTCTGGACTTATGCTGATTTTCAGTGCCAGCCTACTGAGACACCATGACGCAGTTGAACATGAATACCCCACTCAGAGCGCCAGACAGGGTAACAACAAGTGCCATCTTTTAATGTCATTTGGTATTACGCAGCGGGGGTTCGAACCCCCAACCTTCCGCTCTCCGGGTGGCTCGCTGACTTGGTTGATGCATGTCATCGTATCCCAGTTGCGTAGATCAATGCTCATATCAATCAATTGTCTGGTTCAGACTCGATTATTCACAGACCGCCGTCATATATTTGGAATATTGCCGAGTGCGGCGTTAAACAACAATCAACATCAACAACATCGTGCCAAGTGGAGGTAGTAAAGACATATCGGACCTGATAGGATGTATGTTCAGAGTGTTTATAATAATAATCAACCTACACCAAAGTTTGTTATGCAGTGGAAGACGGCGACGTGTCTGACTCCTAACTCTATGGGGTCACGGGTGTCCCAGTCGTCTTAGGCGCCGCGATTCGCTGTGCAGAGTTGCGTCCCTTGGGCACGCCAGAAACCTATGATTGTGGGTTCGAATCCCGGTTCGCCGCGATTATGTTTCTATGTTTGTCAGCATACACCGAAGTAGTAAACGTGAGACCTGCATCACTTCGGGCTTTCCTCCAACATTAAGCTGACACGCCGTGATATAACTGGAATAATGTTAAAAGCGGCGTTAAACCGAACTCACTCACGCTAACTCTACAATTATACAATGATGGTGAGCTGAACGTGATTTCTCCTATTATGGCAAATGGGGAACTAAACGTGATTCTCTTTTGGATTAAATAAAAATAAAGAAACTTTGGTAGGTACATGACCACGAATGTAGGAATGAACCACTAACTATAGGAGAAAGTACATATTTTACATTTATAAGGACCGCGATTATTGGTCCACGTTATTTCTACAAAGACCACGAATATTGGTCTACGACCACGAACAGTAAAGTGTGTCTTGCTCCATCGAACGTAAACCCAACACTGACGATTGCAATTCATCACGTGTCAGAATCCATTTTCTGCACGTGCAGCGAATGCCACGTTCTGTTTTCCGCGACGCATGTGGCATTTTTATGAACTGTTCATGTTACATGAACCGAAACAATGTTTGGTTTTTATTACCTCTCCTCCACACCCGTACTACGGACAAGGTTCTATTCATATTCATTGGAATGGAGGTGAGTACACATTGAGTTTAATAAAATGTATATTAACAGCTCACAGTCTGCGGCGTTAAACAACAATCAACAACATCAACCTACCCTTTAGGTGAAGGTTGACTGTGCTCCACATCATGGGGTCATTTCCAGTCTAGGTCGCAATAAAGTAACTGAGTGATTTTTGTCAAACGGAGACAATTTGGTTATCATTAACTGATGACATCAGAAATCTAGAGTATTGCTTAAACTTGTTAAAGGACTCCATGCATGGCAGGAGTACTGCTGTGCGCGTCGGGCACTGATACATTTTTTATGCAAATTGAGTGGCGGATGTTACTGGTAAAGCAAGAACACCTGGTGTCATCACTGATTTTCACTTATCAATCATATACTTTTCACCGCTATTTAGTCTTTTACGCCCAGTGGGCGGATGATTTAGACTGGTTGTTCTGTGGCATTGACGTTTCATTTATCTATTTTGAGAGACTTGGTGGGACTCCCACTCTTGATTCTTGTATTCCCCTATCAATGACTAAGATAATGTAAGGTTGTTATCACCGCAGATGCAATCATAGCTGGAGCGCCCTTTGGAGTGTTGACATGACAGGTTAGTCCTCAGTACTGGCATAATCATGTTGACCATCAGAGCCTATTTATATTACGATGATGCTTGTAGGTCTTTGTTGATCACTTTGTTGAAACGCACGAGCAAGTTAATATCAGACCATAGATAGACCCAACTTGAAGCACACATTGAATGCGAACTCACCAGCAAGATATCCTAGTTTTCAAATTGTATGTCCGCCCACAATATAACACCGTTATATAACTGAAATATTGTTCAAATCGACAAAAACTCACTCACTCTCATTTTTATGTTTTTCAAATATTATTTTTATCATTGTTGCTGATACTGTTTGAATTTAACTGTAAAAATACATATTCCGAACAATACTTTCTATATTCAGTCAAAGATACAATAATTTCATTTGGTTTGAAACTAGGCCCGTTTCAGGGCACGTTAGTCCTCCAATCACAGTTAACAGAACAGTAATGGCGACCGCCATGGGACAGTTTGTGCTTATTCATGATTTGACTTATCAAATAACCACTGCCACAACCTGTCAGATATGTATGCCAATGTGCAGTATGTCCATTGTACAGCCAAGTACAAGCTGTTTTTATGGCAGTGGCTGTGATGAAAATACCTTACAACTTAAAACCAAGGCCATTTTGATAAGATAACTGTCACACAAAAATGTTCCATTGCAAGTAATTCTTTGTTGCTTGTCAGTAATGATGCCCCCAGGAGATGGTGTGTGAACAATCCAGGGACACATCTGGTCCTTGATCTTGAGGTGTTCCAGATTATTCATGTCCCAGAATTTCTGATGACACACTTTGGAAACCATTCTTCGAAAATGTTTTTACTTCACTGTAAATGCTGGTTGGTTGGTTGGTTGGTTTGTTGTTTAAGGCGGCACTCAGCAATATTACAGCTATATGATGGCGGTCCGTAAATAATCGAGTCTATACCAGACAATCCAGTGATTGATATCATGTGCATGGATCCACGCAATTTGGATCGATGACATGTTTCAACCAAGTCAGCGAGCCTGACCACCCGATCCCGTTAGTCGCCTCTTACGACAAGCATGGGTTGCTGAAGACCTATTCTACCCCGGATATTTATTGGTCTGGCTGTAAATGAACACACAAGACACACAGGTGGTGCTGTAGATGTTTAATACTGTATATACATGATCAGTTTTCTTACAGGGGAATGAATAAAGCACACCACTGTATGACATGCCTCTTTCTTTATTAGAAAGTGTCTAAACTGAAATATGAATGGACAGCATGTCGGACGAGAAAAAGGATGGATCATTAAATAAAAATATGATGGAAATAAAATCACCAGCCATACATCATTTTAGCAAACCAACAAAAATACCATTCATTCATTCATCTGACAAGATGACAGACAACTGTTCCACAGTAGACAGTGAAGTGTGTGTGTGTAGCAGACACTGAACACTGAACTGCGTCTGTTGAGAACCTCAGTGTATGTGAGATACATGATTCTCCTCCCTGTCTCATGTCTCTTCCACGGCCATCTCAGACACAAAGTCGCGGTAGAGGATGATGCCTTTGTCAGGGTCGACTGCTGCAGACATCATCTCCTCCAGCTCCTCCTGGGTAAAGGGTTCACCTGCACACAGAACATGAGTGAGTGGGTTAGGTTTATTTTAGGCATGTTATCTAAATGTGTGAGGAAAGCCTAAAGTGATTGAGGTCTCAAACGTTTATACCACTTTCGTGAAATCCATGAGCATAGGTATACTGACAAACCCACATTCACAGGTTCCTCGTGTGTCCAAGGGACGCAACTCTTCACAAGAATCTTAGGTGCTGCAGATTGGTTACTGACAACCAACAAACAAGGAATCTAGTTTCAGCAAAGGGAGACGAATCTGCCAAGCTTATTATAGAGCAAGATTTCTTGGTCACCCATTCTCAAAATGAGTTGGTCCAACTGAATTAATAAATTAATATCCCCCCCCCCCCCCCTTCCCCTCCATCCCCCACCTCGCACCTACATCACATCACAAGTTCGAATGATTAATGGTCATTAGCTTACATCACATTAAAAAATATTAAAAAATTCAAATTTGATTGAAAACCAGAAATATTTTTTTTCAGAGTATGAATGTCTTTGCTTTTAGAAGTGGTATGTCGTTTACTAAAACAGTGAAAATATTCAGTGAATTTATTTCTGGCCCATGTTTGAACAATGGCTGACAAGCACCTACCCTCCTCAGTCATGTATTTGCGGAGTTCATCCTGGGTGAGGTGACCTTTCATTTCAGCATCCATGACTTGAAATGCTTTTAGTAACACATCCTCAGGATTTGGCTTGTACCTGTTCAAACATAATGTGCAAAAAACTCACATTCAAGGTAAATTGGATTTTTTATAAAATATATTGTTGCCCATTGAAATTATACAATAATCTTGTTAATATCTTATACTAACTTGAAACATTATATTATATCTATAGATTATCATATTAGAAAGTTAATATATTGAAAGATAAGCAGAGCTGATGAAGTAGTGCTGAGGTAATCACCTTCTTTCCATCATCACTTTTGTCATCATTGGGAGGAATTTTTCAAATCTGATGTATCCAGTTGGCTCCTCCTCTTCAATCTTAAACACAATCCATAAAACATCAATAAATCAGTCATTAGAAACGCATGTTATTTCAAGAAGAGGGTCCCAAATGAGAGATGTGAGGGTCAAGAGGAGGATCCTGATGAGATGTGAGGGTCAAGAGGAGGATCCTGATGAGATGTGAGGGTCAAGAGGAGGATCCTGATGAGATGTGAGGGTCAAGAGGAGGATCCTGATGACATGTGAGGGTCAAGAGGAGGGTCCTGATGAGATGTGAGGGTCAAGAGGAAGATCCTGATGACATGTGAGGGTCAAGAGGAGGGTCCTGATGAGATGTGAGGGTCATGTGGAGGGCCCTGATGAGATGTGAGGCTCAAGAGGAGGATCCTGATGAGATGTGAGGCTCAAGAGGAGGGTCCTGATGAGAGATGTGAGGCTCAAGAGGAGGATCCTGATGACATGTGAGCACCAAGAGGAGGGTCCTGAGGAGGGTCCTGATGAGGGAGTTAGGGTCAAGAGGTGGGTCCTGATCAGACATGTGAGCATAGTAGAATATGATGTTGTACTTTAAAGTGTTTGAAGAGTCATGGCATAGCTTATACTGTAATAAGAAACTGGCCAGTACTGTTTTATTGTAACAGGATATAAGACTACTGATAAGAATACGTAGTATATTCATGTAGATTGTTTAAGCCACTGACATATTATCAGATTAATACATGCATACTGTACAGTAGAAGCATTTCAACTTAATTGCATGCATACCACATGCATACCACGTTTCATCATATAAACATACCTCAGCAAGCATATCATGAAGTTCAGCTTCACTCGGGCAGCAGTTGAGGGAGCGAACAATAGTTCCTACTTCTCTGGAAAATGGTCAATACACAATGTGAAAATATGAAAGAGATGTACTTATATACTGACCTAACTACTAGACCTATAGCATGTAGACATATGCATACTGACCTCACAACATATTTTTTATAAAAGATGAGAACAAAACATGTGGATACAAGTTGATGAAAAGATAACATTTGTTTTCAGTGATGAAGGAAACAATAATTAAATTATTATAGATGTTACTGTTTCATCCTGCAAACTAATTTTTATTTTTTCTGAAACATTGTTTCTTCAATAAATATTTACTTGATATTTTATCCAAACCATTAGTCTCCTATTCTATAAAGATGGTGTTTTCACTATTGATAGTCCACAGGACATAGATATAAATGGAATCCATACATACCTCACATCTACAGTCTTATTGGACTCATGGTCAAATATATCAAATGCTTCAGTTATTTTCTTTTGGATGTCTTGTAGGAGTGAATCTGAAATATGAGAAATTTGTATTGACATATTTCTTAGGTTCCATCTATTAAAATGGACAAGGTACTAGGGCTAGGATGGGTACTGGGGTCGGCTGGATCCTGAGTAGGACCAATGCTTTAACCACTAGGCTACCCCACCATGCCTTACTATGCATGAGTTCCTTCTGACTGTTATATGTTGAGTAAAGATAAAGCTTGAGTCAACTTCAATGTATGCCTGGCATGTTATATGTGTATCTAAATAATTTTTGCCAGAGCTCCGGTAAAACAATTCCCAATCAGACATTTTGTACCCAATTCTTGAGACCTACAGCGAGTACCCAGGTAGGGTTGGGAAACAGGGGGTAGGGTGCCCAGGTAGTAAATTTGGACTTGTTTCGACCCTAGTTCATCTTTTCAAGGACAGCAGAATACAGTATGCCAATGAAGATTTTCTGATGGTTCATACAAACTACTGTGTTGTTTAGATTAATTTCAGATTATGACTGACATACATGTGTCAAGTTTTCACGTATCACATGTCTCATAGTGATCAAGTCTGCCTGGAGAGTGGAAGGTCCGGAGTTTGATCCCTGGCCGCGTCATACTACAAGGCATTAAAAGATGGTACTTCTTGTTACCCTGTCTGGTGCTTGGCATGAAGGGGGTAAAATAAGGAGTGGTCGGCTTGGAGTAGGTATACTGAGTAGGCTTCGGGAATTCATGTTAAACTGCAGCATGGTATCTCGGTGGGCTAGCACTATAAATCGGCATCAGTGCACGCGCACACACCCACGCCTACACACCCATGCCCACACCCACACACACACCTCGCTAAAATAACAAGGCGTTAATACCGGTGTGTGTTAATGTGTTTGTTAAAATGTGGCCCTTTTGGATGTCAGTGATGAGGTTGTTGCACACCATTTTTGACATTTTACATATTTTCGAGTACTTTTTCGATGTTGATGTCCAATATTGGTTCACCACAGGAACTCGTTAGTGGTCAGTAAATAAAAATATATACCCCCTATATGTAAGTTCTTTACTTACATATAGGGGGTATATATTTTTATTTTCTGACCACTAACGAGTTCCTGTGTGGTACACATGCATTATACCGGACACCTATCTGTCATGTTGGTTTACGAAGCCACAAGCGACAGCATCACTATTTGAAAAATAGGGCGATAAAGCTCAAAATATGCAGGGGGCAACCCCCAAACCCCCTGTTATTTTAGCGAGACCACAAAAGCTGGCGTCTGAGAAGCGGTTTCTAAGGAAGAGCTTGTGTAGATCCCTTACCAAAATGGCCGAAGGTGTCGGGTATACAGCATTCTTGCCCAATATTTGATGTTTGTTGATTGCTTTAATATTCAGTGTTGAGGTTTAATGTTATTTAACTACAGTGAACTACGGCTATAACGAACTCAAAGGGACTACTAATTTTAGTTCTTTATAACCGGAATTCGTTATAAGCATATATACAGCATAACTACAGCAAATAGTCGGGACTAAAAAGTTAGTTCGTTATATCCGTCAGTTCGGTATAAGCGTGTTCATTATAACCGTAGTTTACTGTATACAAATGAAGCGAAATCATTTTTCTGTTTATGTTGAGGTTTATCGTCCTATATTTCAAATAGTGATCATGATGCTGATGCATCAAAAAACCCTGACCGTCCGCTCTCTAGGCAGACAATCTACCATGCAAGAGACCACAGAGGTGGTTGAATGAAACTGAACATATTGTGGGTAGACTGCAATATTTGGGTCATTTTGGGGGTCCTTTTAGCTCACAAACGCCTCCTAACGGATTTCGGCATGCTAGCTCGTGCACGCTTATATATATATATGCAGAGCTGCCTTCCGAAGGGAAACCCCAGAAGTGGGGACCCAAATACTGCATTTGACCCCATTGTGTTCCTATGAAATAAGGTTAAACAGTTACTGATAGATTATTTTTGTTGTAGTTTATTTTCAGTCCATCATTAAGCCAAAGGCCATGTCAGAGGAGAGAAGCTAGTTGCATTCAATGACGAGAACCTTGTCTGCTGCGTTAATCATGGACCCAGTATGATACATGATTTAGGTTTTCAGGTGTGTTCTGTTACTCATTCTCTGGTCAGTTCCATGTTGATTGTCATAATTATAACACGTAATTATTATTAGTTTCAGAAAGTAAACATAGTACAGAAAACTGAATCAAATAAAGTTCCAAAACAAGAAAGGTCTATAGATCTACTGTTATTAGGTTTCCTCATGTTCAGCACAGTCTAATTATTGCATTCTCCGTTTTTTCCCTTTTCATTAATCACATTCTGTTAGCGCCACTAACGTCGTGTAAAGAGTATATCATATTTTACAAGAATCCAATATTGTTACCTGCATTTTCCTTTGCTTCGTCAGTGGCCGCCATGTTGTTTACAATCGTTGCTACACAGTAAGACTGGGTTCAGTCTATATGGCGGTAGGCGTAGCGTCTCCAAAGAGATTAATCAGTTAAGCCTTATACATTCTTGTAACATTTCGTTAAGATTTTATGTTTGTAACCTAATTTAGTTCTGATTTTTTAAAGACATTTTAAAAGCAGTGCCATACATATAAAAATAAACCTTTGTTATAAAATAAGTACAAAATGTTTCTGCAGAGTGGTCTAAAATATAAACTGCCGTGCGAAAGCGGAATAACGTTAAATCCAAATTCTATATCCCAAACCTATTTTCACTTGACGCCACATGAAGCTAAACGATTACAGTCCATGTGATGAACCTGATGGTACGAAACGCGTAAACCTCTAACACAAAATAACTAGGTTACAGCTATTACAATAAAAAAAAAAATTATTTTAAAGTATTCCGAGTAACACAGACAGAGAGGTTCATTCAGTATTATGGCCTAAAGTACAATTGATACTAACTCATATGATGTCACGTGCATATACAGATATTACATCTTCTTGAATCTGATAGTAAAAACATGCTTTATATAAGTAGCCACCGAAAAAATGACATGTTTATTGTGAGTTGATAATATTTATCATTAACATTTCAGATTTATAGTCATTATTCAAGAAGGGGAGATACGTAGATCTTAACTTGGAATACTTGTTACACTAATGATATAAGATATGGAATTCATATTCAATTTCACCTGTCACAATTGGTACAAACACTGTTAACAGTATGAATATCTTTCGATTTACGACACATATTTACATTAAAATTATGTAATGAGATTCTAAATTTACAAAACTATCTTATTAATGACTTGTCTGTTAAGGAAGATAAATACATTTCCTGTTAAAGATTTGTCTTTAGTTTACTATAATTGCTAAGATAATGCGAAGATGAAACAGTTTCGTACCAGTTTTGTGCCAAAATGTATCGAAACTATAAGGGGGGCGGGGCAAAGTTTTCAAATAACAATGTAAAAAACACATGCATGTGCTCGCAACTTTGTTACGTCAAATATTGGACGTCGTTATTTTGTAGAGACATGTCTAGTGTTCGTGTGTTTGTTGTTTAACGCCGCAATATTCCAGCTATATGAGAGCGGTCTTTAAATAATCGAGTCTGGGCCAGAATATCCAGTGATTGAAACCATGAGCATCGATCAACTCAACTGGGATACGATGGCATATATCAACCAAGTCATCGAGCCTGACCACCTGATCCCGTTAGTCGCCTCTTACGAGAAGCATAGACGCCTCTTACGGCAAGCATGCGTGTTGCTGAAGACCTCTTCTTCCCCGGATCTTCACGGGTCACGTGTCTAGTGATTCGTTCACCATAAAAGTAGATGGGTTACGTTGACGAACGATTGCGTCCAAAAGCGGGAGAGGTTATGACAATCAGTATTGGGAGAACAAGTAGACAATCGACGCGGGTATTGGGAGAATATGCGGGAAATACCAAACTTAACCCACCTGTTATTTAAATGGACTTGTCCGACATTGTCGAGGTCGGATTCTATTCAGGGAGTCAACGTTATTTAAAAAAAGGTAAATATTTATATTATAAGTTGTAGCAGGATCACGACGGGTACATGGGGTTTTAAGCGCCCCGTGGGGAGGAACGCAAAAGGCCCAATGTACCCCTCGTGATCCTGCTACAACGAATTTATCTTACCAACATGTTTTAATGACATTGTAAAAGAATTCAAACAAATTCAAAATTGACCAAAAAAAAGTTGTTCGACTGAACTGTGGTAAGCTTGCTCTATGCCACGTGACTTCCATTGACTCGGGAAAAGCGTGCGGCTTTTTGCTTTGAAGCGAGGTACAAGGGATTTATTCTGTCTCTCAGAAATCCCCGTGCAGCCTGACTTGCTCGTGGCGGAGTATAAGAGATTCCCCTCCAAGGCAGGATACACAGTATTCTAGCAAGATCACGTGGACCAATCAGGTCTCATCATGGATAACACGGAGGTATGATAATGGCTTGTACATTTTTTCAACATCCTTAAGAGGTTGTACATAATATTGATATTCTCATATCAGAAATAAACGATATATGTATTCTATAACTAGAATAATAAACCACGAGGGGCGCAGAAGCAAATGGTTTATTCTTCTTGCAGTGTTTTATTGTACGATAAACAAGAACCACGAGTCGTGTATTTCTTAAATATTGAACATTAAGTAAAAAATAATGGGTTATGTTATCACGGACATTAATCAGACGAACAAAAGAACCTTCCGTTATAAAAAATGTTCAGTAGTGTTTTAACCTTGAGGGAGGTTGTACGTTAGTGGATGCTGGAACTCAGTTATTATTGCACTATTGCATGGCGATGTGAGAATGTCCCACGTGCAGAGAATTCACATAGCCAATCAGGCTCAATCAGGTTAGGTCAACAGTGCACCACCCAACATCTGACGAACACATTCACGTGAATCACGATTGTAAGCAAGCATTTGCTGATCATCCTTTTTCAGGAATAGAGTACGTTGACGGTGGAGATAGTCGATTTCACCTTTCGTACGGACATCGTGCTTTTCTGTATTCGGGATGGATCGTTATATCGCTTTATAAACCCTATTGAGGCTATTCTTGTTGTTTGGAACGGGAATTTAATGACAGGAAACTACCGCGGATTTCAATTCAATTGTGATTTGTGTAAAACATTTTAGTTTTCATCTTAAAAAACAGAATATTCATTTTTATGCAAATCAGACACAAATACTGGTTGCAAAATCAAAGAAATGGGTCATCCCCTATGATGAGGTGCCTGTGATCCTGATTCGTTTCAGGAAGACAGTTGAAGACGAGTTTTGTATCATCTTGCGCATGTGCGTCCTCTGACCCGCCATATTGAACTAGAAGGGTTTATGTTGTATTTGTGTGCAGGACGTTCGTACTGCATTTGTTGATTGTGTTGGATTTTGTTGATTGTTTAACTTATTGCATTCAAAATGAGTGACATCGACCCAAATAAGTTGAAGGTTGCTGAGCTTCGGGAAGAGCTGAAGACGCGAGGATTGGAAACAAAAGGCACGAAGCCAGTGCTTGTGAAGAGACTAAAACAGGCCCTCAACAAAGAGAGTGGATCAGGTAATTTGTCAATTCATTGTTGATTTTGTGATGGTTTTGTTGCATTTTTATCAATTTATCGCATATACACAAGTAATTTTTGTAATTTTGATCACGATGCAATTTGCAATGGGCTCGAATGTAAATATTGCGATGTTGATCTGTGGAAGCCATGTTCTCCCGGAAGCAAGATGTTTATGTAGGTCAAACTGTTGCAAGAGGTTAATCCATTTAATTCAGTTTGAAAAGCTAAGTGTTAATTCTTTTTATGAATGGTGTACTTTGTGTCACTTTGTTTTCTAATTTCGGGGGTCGCGGATGGCCAAAGAATCGAAAGTGTGTATTTTGTACCCTATTATTGGGTTTAGAGCCTGTAGCTAATATGGAACATGTCATCATCGAAAACAGCACCAATACTCATGATACTAGCGAAAGCGGAACTCCCCAAAACGGCTACTACTTTGCAGTGAAAACTGCACTGTATTATTTTATACTTTGGTATTAGGAACAAGCTATAAATTAAAATAACTCAAAGGTTCACATGCAAACACAAATTGGTCATGTAATTGTGAAATGTTCATTGTCTTTAATGTTTAGGCCCCCTACATAAGAGGAAAATGCCCTTTTCAATTTAATTAACTGTTAGTCAGTGTCAAACTGACACTGTATTTTGCGACCTGTTCAAAAGTTTGTCTGATAAAAGAAAATAAAATTTCGAGACAAACCTACCACCCCCAACTTCTGAAAATGTTCAGAGTTTTATGGCCTCTTTTGTCACGCATACTCATGTTTTGCCCAGTTGTTTCACGGGTCAGGCATACTAATTGAACATAATGAAATTAGGATCGGTTTAGTTCAGTTCTATACACAACATTGAGACTCTAAACTTAAGGAATTAAGATGTTTATCCAACATCGAGCTTTTGAACTGGTCCCTTTAGATGCATGACTTGCTGGTGCCAGATCATTCTTCACAATGTTATAAGCAATAAAACTGAAGAAAACTCAACATGTCATATTATTTGATGAATACGACCAGTGGCCAGTGTTTGTGGTACTGGACTTTTTGTGTCTAGGTACAAGGACGTTAGAATGAAGATGGCTTCCAATTTCACTGTACAAGATGTATTGGTCCTGCTTTTGACAACTTAGTTATTATAAATATATGGTGCCGATTTCACCTTTCATATGACCTGTTGCATTGGAAAACAGTGCAGTTTACAGAATGCAGCTTATATCGTTTTTGGGCTCAGACTGTTGATTGTCACTCTCGTTTAACTGATCTCACTGCTTCTTCGATGTTTGGATGTTAGGGTTGGATTAACTGATGGTGGAGGAATACACAAATGCATTGCGTTTTTTTGTTCTTCTGATTCAAATTATTGATCGGTGTCGCACACTAGGAACAAAATATCTGTTTTTTTTAATTTACCTTAAACGATTGCTTTAATATCTGATAATACCAAAAAGGCCCTAATTAGTTGTGAAAATGTAAATATATTCATCCATCAGTGATTTTGACACAAGACTGTATAGAGGTCAATGACTTGGCCCAAGAAATGTAATAAGTCGATGATAAAAGTCAAACAAAGATGGTGTATGATGTCAGAAAACCTGTAATCCGACGATAATAGTATTGTCATGAATAATGATAAAGGCATATATGATGCTGAAAGCTCTGATTGAAAACAGGACAATATGTGTACTGTTCATTCTCTCGATTGACACAAAACTGAGAGCATTTCATTGGTCATTAAAATCGATACCCTAAGTAGGAATAATCCTTACTATTTACTTGTTAAACGTGAAATTATGACACATGTGACCCCTTGCTTAGCATTTCTATTGGTGAAAAGTTTGACAACTAAAACAAACCATCAGTCAAATTGAAATTTTATTGGTCTATGGCCAGTTGTCAAGGCCATCTGAAACCCTGTCTATTGTGCCATAATTGACTCTGCCATCTGTTAATCGTCAGTGAGCCAGGTGTTTGGCCATCCCATCTATTAAAAGGATGGCATCCGCACAACAAATGAGAACATATGCAAGTATTGCGATACATATCAGGTTGTGCGAAAGGTATCGTGATACATATCAGATAGCGGTTAGTGTGCTGCCCCAGCCCTGATTAATACATTGGATTGGAAAGGGGATCCAAGGGTGAAGGATAGTTAGGGGCAGTCTACCCTGCAGTCTGAGCCAATTGGAGCTAACTTACATTTCTCTTGTCATAAGAAGTACAATCAAAGTTCAGACGATGCTTGTCGTAAAAGGCGACCAGCGGGATTGGGTGGTCAGGCTCGCTGACTTGGTTGATGCATGTCATCGATCCCAATTGCGTGGATCGATGCTCATGATATTAATCACTGGATTGTCTGGTCCAGACTCGATTATTTACAGACCGCCGTCATATAGCTGGAATATTGCTGAGTGCGGTGTTAAACAACAAACCAACCAACCAAATTTCGGACCTTCCATTTCTGAGGGTTTTTTTTGTTACAAAAAAGGTAATTATTTTTTATTTAGCGCGTGTCTTCATAGATATTGAAGTAGGTTTGTCATTGTCAGATAGGTAATGGTTCAAAATAATTATTAGCATAAGTATGCCAGTCTGAGACAAGTAAAATTCAGGAAGGACTGGTGACATTTCCTTATGGACTGCCACTTTTACCATTACGTAAATGCCAACTCTGTAGTAGATCATTTTTGCAGAGTAGTGATTGAAATTTCTAATCCTGAACAATGCCAATACATGTAGCCATAGTAGCTATTACGTAGACAACATGTCCTTCCTGAAATAGTCATGTATATGTCTGTATGGTTAAATGAAAATAATTCTATGAAGGAAATCTCAAATACAGTGGTCCCTTGTTATTGCGCTCTTTGATATAGCGCTAACTCATGGCTCCCAAAATTTATTAACATTTTTAATAAACTCAAGTTTTCCAATGACACAATGTTTTCCCCCATCTCAGAAAACATTATCAGCTGATCACCGCGATCACATAACACAGGAAATTGTAGGTAGCTACAGGTAGCGTTGTAGCGAGGGATCACTGTACTAAGGCACCCCCAAGTCTTGTGAAGAAGGAGCTGTGCAGGAGATGAGTATTGTCTTGCAAAAGCTGTGCTTGGGTGATAGTTTAATTTTAAAAAAATTGCTCTGACTGTGGTCTAACTGAAGAGAGACTAATGATTCTGGTAGCAGATGGAATTGTATCAGTTATCCTTGCTGTTGATTGCAACTGTTGATCATCTAAAGCTTGATTCCATACATAGTATTGCATGTTGTTTGAAAATTGGATCAAGTTTTTTTTTATTGATTGTAAGGGATCTTTGTCATTGAAAGAATTCATGATCATCACTTGTTGGTCGTGTATAGATTTCTGGTTGCTAGGTTTCTCTCTAGTTATTCAGGGAACAGCCATGTGGATTTTCACAAATGGGGCCCCACCCAATGACTCATTGTGTGTAACATTGTGTAAATATTGAGGCAGAGGCGGAAGAGTAGCCTTTGTGTGTTGAGAAGTAGTTGAAATTGGATATCATTGACATTATTGATTCATCCCTTCTAGATGATGGGAGAACTCCTTGTCAAGTATTTATCTTGATAGTTTGAGTACTCTTTGAGCATTTGAATGTTGATGTTCCACAATATGTGCAAGTTGTGCCTAGTTGAAACAGTTAAATTATACAATTTCAGTTTGAGGTTTCATTGTCATGATTGGTGTTTTCTTGTCTGAATTGTTTTGTGTCATTCAGACTCTTCACTCTTAGTAATCCAGGGCAGATGGTGTATGTTTTCTTCCTCGTTAAAAGTATTAATAGTATTAAGATATGTTAGAGAAGTTTGTACATGTGTACATTTGAACACTGTATGTTATATAGCCTGCCACCTTATGTTTATACAACGGAGAACAAATAACTAAATATCAAATAGCAAGGTATCGTGTATACTAAGTACTCACACTTTTATCATTATATTGTCTGATAATACTTCCACATGTTAAATAAGGGAAGGTATTGATAATTGAAGTAGAAAGTATCTACTGATCCAGGGATTTATCCAGGATTTTAGACTAAGTGCCCTTGGCAGGTAATTTGGGAATAAAATAGAAAATACAAGTCACAACACCCTACATTAGTTATTACCATATAACATGAATTTGGGAAATTTGTGGCTCCAGAGTGGGAATTTTTACTGACATTTGGTTCAGACTTGGGACCCAATATCGGCCTCTGAGCAGGTCCAGATACATCCCTGTAATCATCTGCCTGACAACTTCTTGACATGTTTGAAGATTGAAGTCAATTCGGACTGTTCAGTTAAAATATATTACTGTTTTTACAGAAGATGCTAATGAATCTCTGGACACATCGCAAGACGCCGGTGATGAATCATCACAGGAAGGGAGTCAGATACAGGAAGATCTGACAGCTGCAGAAACTGCTCCAGCAGCTGAGGTGTGTGGAGAAATAGTACTGTGATGATATATCTTGGTGTATAACTAGAAGCTTTTAGCACACAATGAAGATCCAGGTTAGAATTGGTCATGCTTGTCATAAGAGGACTAACATGGTAGTGTGGTCAGACTTGCTGCCTTTGTTAATGCAAGTCTTCATATCCCAATTGTGTAGATTGATGGTCATGACGCCAATCGCTGGATTGTCTGGTCAAGATTAAATAAATCTTAATTAATCTTATTTAATCTTATTAATTAATCTTAAACAAACAATGCATTCAGACTCTGCCCAGTTAAATGTTAGCTTAATATTAACCTAGTGTATAAGTTCAGTCCTGTGGGCAACTAGGTTTATTGGTTGTTCACCACATCATTTTATCTAGTTTGTGTATCTTACCACAATACAAGCAAGGGGTGATCAGAAAACTCACTTTACCAAATTCCATTTAGCAGCAAAATGCTCTTGATATCATATGGCTAGGAAAGAATGATAGATCTTCAAGATATGTTGATAAATCAGTATCACAATCTCTTGCTCATAGTGAATTTGCCAAACATCTAAGTATATTTGATTATTCACCAGTTTTTCACTTGATGTTTTAAGGCTGAACCTGAAGCTGAAGCTGAACCTATGCAGGAAGAAGCTCCGACAGAAGCAGCAGCTGAAGCAGCAGCTGAGCCTGAGGTCGAGGTGAAGGCTGCAGAGGGGACAGATGCTCAGAACGGGGATGAGGAGGCTGCTCCAGGAGACGATATGGCTGAGGAGTATCAGACTATAGATGAAACTTCACAAGATGATGGAGAGGAGGGCAAAGGTAGGGGTCTCAAAACATTTTGCTTATTTTTTTAAAGAAAAGATATGGGATTTTTGCCTAGAGAAACTAGGAAATGAAGTTTAAATAAATGGTTACTTCCTGTTCAAAGGTTACTTGTCCCAGACCAATTGTAGGACTTTGTCCCCCCCCCACCACCCTCAACGCTGGTAGCATAACCAATAAGCCTCTGTAAAATGTTATGGAATTGTTTTGAATGTATTATGTCTGCTCCTACTTCAGATGATGAACGTGGAGCAAAAAGGAAGAGGTCTAGATCCAGATCTAGGGAAAGGAAGAGGTCTCGTTCCCATGACAGATCTCGTCGGTCTCGATCACGATCACGAGACAGGCAGTGAGTCTACTTGCTTTTTCTTTTAGAGGCAGTAATGTGAGTTAATGTATGTGGTAGTGGAGTTACTGGAATTTTCTGCACAACTCTTCTGGTTGATCTGTGAAGTTGTTTTGAAACTTATTTGTTTATTTTCTGTACAGTAGACGCCCACCACCCGAGATGGATGATGATGGCTGGGAAACTGGTACAGATTTCAAGTTGGACAGATGTAAGTAGTTTTTAGTGTCTTATCATCAGTCATTATGGTCAGTCAGAATCTTTATTTGAATGTTTAATGTAATAGACCATTTGAATTTAATAGGAATGATAAAGTTGAAAATGCTTAAGATGACCAGGGTGCCATTGTACAAAACAACCTCAGCGCTCGACTGTCGCAAGTCTGTATAAAGGTATGGGAGTTACGATCACCTTAACGCTAAGATCAATGTGTACAACAGCACCCAGGAAATAGATATTTCCCATTCAGAACTTGATTGTCCTCTCTTTTTTTCCCCCCAGTTAACTGTGACTTGAATATGCGCATTGATGAGAATGGTGTGAAGGCTCACCCTCTGACCGTGGAAGGGTTTGGCTTCATGTGGGCTGGTGTGAGAACAATGTTCGCAGTGAACAAGGGCAAGGTTGCATTTGAGGTCAAGGTAGGTGTTCATATTTGTGCATGTGGATCTTACATGTTTCCTATAATTTTTTATTGTACTTTATTTTACTTTACCTTTAATTTATAGCTATGAACAGTGTTCACAAATGCTTGATTGAGTATAGTAAGATAAGTTGTAATCACATCTTATGATTGATGATCAGAGTGATAAGATATACATTGTTTAATTTATTGTATAAGAATATGAAATTTGCGAAAACCCAAATGTTGTGTAGTTATAACCAGTTGTATTTTTATCTAGTAACTATGTAAATGCCTTTATTACATAACTATTAAAATTTGGGTCCAAGTGGGTTTAAGACTTTTCACTGCGTTTATGTGTGTGGAGGACCAGTTGGTACATATTGTCACTTCTTGCACTGACAGATATTGGAGAACTTGAATGTTGAACATCTCCCATCAGAAGAGTCCAACCCCCATGTTGTGCGTGTCGGCTACTCAGTGGATGGAGCTTCACTACAACTTGGTATGGTCATGTCTGATGTATTTGAAGTAGCTTGACCAATTTGTGCGAGAGATCTTTTCCCAAATGTTTCTTATAGCATGTATAGTGTAGGTTAGGGTCCAATGGTCTAAGGGTGCTGCAATTCACTTTGTGGATTTGTCCTTTGAATCCTAGATACACCCTCATTATGTTTCTAGGTTTGTCAGCATCATACCTGTGCTAGTGGGTTTCTGCACTTTTGTAATTGTCCCAAGACTTGCATCACTTTAAAGTTTTCTTTACACATACTGCTGACCTCGATGACATAACAGACATAGTGTTCAAAGTAGTGTATGAACTGTGATCTATCCTACTCGCAACCTTTCATAGCTGTACATGAGTATAGTGAGTGCAATGTTTGTATTCCAGGTGAAGAGGCTTTGTCATATGGTTATGGTGGTACAGGCAAGGCATCAACAGAGTGTAAATTCAATGACTATGGAGAGAAATTCTCAGAGGGGGATGTCATCACAGCTTATCTAGTAAGTGGATGTAATAACAGCTTTCATCCTGCACGTTACAACTGTGTTCGGATTTGTAAACCAAGTTGAAAACAATCTTGCCTTATTGCTTGCTTTGTGACATAAGATCACTTAAGAATATGGAGATCACTTAAGAATGTATAGAATAAACACTGTAAATTAATTCAATACGGTACTTCTAGTTGGTACAGAATGTTTCTTAGAGTTGAGATTAAGTGTACCAGGACCCAAATGTGATTTTTCAAGAAGTTATGTTCTCATGACCTGTATTGAAGTGTTTGTCCATGTTTATTTAGGATCTAGATAGTGAGGAACCCACTATTTCCTATGCAAAGAATGGTACAGATCTTGGCAAGTGTTTTGATATTGACAAGAGTCAGCTGGGAGAACAGGCTCTGTTCCCCCACATCCTCACCAAGAACACTGAGTTTGAATGCAACTTTGGACAAAGGGTAAGGAATGTTATATGGATTTTAAAATTAATTAAATGCCTTGAATTTAGCAACATTATCATAACATTTTCAAACACCAGCCCACATGTGCATAAGATATTAAAGCCACTTTCTCAGAAGTAGTGCTTCATGTAATGGGCATCAATTTCATAAACACAATACCATTTCAATTTTCAGATTTATACATTCTTGAAGTCATTGCAGTGTTAGATACTTCTGTAGTAATGAGGATATTTACAATGAGGCCATGTTGTGTTGTAGGAGGAGCCCTATTTCCCTCTTGCTGAAGGCTATGTGTTCTTTGAGACAGTGGCACAAGAAGATCGTATCAGGGGTGCCCTGCCACCAGCGCAGAAGGGAGATTGTGAGGTAAGCTGTGTTGCATATACTTGTTAGCTAGTTAAAGGCCTGGCTTTGTTTTACCTTCTGGACATTCTCACTTTGCATTTCTGAAACCTTTGGACCTAAGAAAGTGACACTTATCAAACTAACGGTCTATCTAGTTTGCTGTAGCTCTCCTGATCCTAATATCAATATAGCCACCATGGCAGTCATGTTGAAAACCTACTGCTGCTGGTGGATATTTGCTGAATGTTGTATATATTTGCTGAATGTTGTATATATTTGCAGATCCTTATGATGGTTGGTCTGCCAGGCGCTGGCAAAACCTACTGGGCAGAAAAACAGGCAAAGGGAAATCTGGAGAAGAGGTACAATGTGCTGGGTACCAACAACATCATCGACAAGATGAAGGTATGCTCATATCGTTATTGAATGATAAACTGTCAGTATTGGAAAATTTGTTTGTTTTTTCCTGATAAAGCTTGAAAGTTGGGTTGACTATTGATTACTGACCTATTCATAGAAGTCATGTTTTTATTTGAGGTAAATGTTTTTTTCAAGTTTGTCATCATGATTTCATATCTAATTTGGAATATACTTCCTGTTTTTAGGTCATGGGTCTGCCTCGTAAGAAGAACTATGCTGGTCGATGGGACGTCCTTATTGACAAAGCAACAAAGTGCCTCAACAGGATGATTGAAATTGCTGCTCGCAAAAAGCGAAATTATATCTTGGACCAGGTAGGTGTATTTTATTTTGGTTTCTATAGTGTAGTACAGAAAGGACGACGAGACAGAGGATGACCTTATGGAATCGTTAATCCTTGATGGATTTGTCAGAAATAAATGATTTGCACTCAGGACGATACAAACAGGTAGGTATGTCTCAATTTTGATTTTTTTACAGACAGATTTCAGCAAAAAGGTGTTTGAAGAGGTAAGTGAAACCTTTTTTCCTTTCTTGAAAGGATATGGATGTTTCCTCTCAAGATTTACAAGGTGAGTCTGTTTGCTTGCATTTGAAGTGGACAATCGTGGGCTATTGGAAGCCATGGAAGAAGAGGATGTTAACTTGCATTATTATACAGATGCTCTTCCGCACATATGTAATGGATTTTGATGCGACTTGAATGCTTAAACCCTGTAATTGATGCCTTTGCCAGTATTTTGATGTAAAGTGGTAGTTTGAGCCAAGTTGTAAACCCACCCATGAGAATAACTGATGGTTAAAATTTGATGCAGTGTATATTTTGTCCTTGTTTGAGTCTTTGGGAGAACAGCATCCTGGAATATATGCTGATCAGATTTTTTTTCATATATTAACAAGTGGAATTTGGTCTTTGGTTTATTTTGTGTATGTGAACAACATTTGAGAGGACAGATGTGGCATCTTCAAGTACATAGTGATCTGATTGTGTTTTATATATTGATCTTGTATGTTGGTAAAAAGTGGAGTTTGGTCTTATCCATTTTTTTTTTATGTGTGTAAACTGTTGCGCTATGGTTTGTTACTCATTATTCTGAGAAAACAATTATAGGAAATTGTGAATGCGCAAAGGATGAGTGATGCTAGAAATCCTGAAGCCTTGTTTGTGTGCATTGGAAGGTCAGAAAGAAGTGAAGGGAGTTGTCCCACTACCCATTAAATAATTGTAAAATACCATATGTGCTAATCAGTAGTACTTTCCTTCTTGTAATGAAGTTATTGACTGCTGAATATATGCAGATGTTCTGTAAGTTACTTGCTATGTTATGACTGAGTGAGGTTTTATGTTCAATGAACCATTTGCTACTTTTCTGTAGTTCCATGCTGGATATTGAAGTTATAGATAGAACATTTGTAATCGTCTCATGTCTCATGGATAAGGCCATCTTTATACTTAAAGCGTTACAGGATGTTCACCACAACTTTAAGTTTGAAATGCCACATGTACCGTATATCGCCGTCCATAGCGGGATCCCCGCCTACAAAGTGCCCCTTGTAGAAACCATCAAAATCGATGCTAATTTATGTACCTAGCCTATATTGCAATCTGGACTGAAGCACATCACCAGAGCATAAACATTCCCTACATTTGCCATAAAAACATGTTTCTCATCCATTGTTTTATATGATGCTTTGACACATGAATAACTCCAGCATATGGCACCATTTTGTGTTGACACATGTGACGCCAGATTGAAATAACGTTGGTTTTTTAAGTAATGAAATAAGAAGTTTTTTTATTTCTTGCAATTAAATCACCAATTAACTTTGTTTATATTGATTAGACTTCGTTTTGTTTAACCTTGAGCATGTTTATTCACCAGTCGCAGATACATGCCTTTTCCAGTACTCGCTGATAGATAGAAATACAAAGGGGGGAATTAATTTTTGCTTCACAGGTTAAATATCACACGTTAGAGGACTTGTACAACAGGTCGGGGCATCTAATGTAATGAAAATTTAATTTTGTTATTGGTTACATTTTTGTCTACTTTGCAGTTTATTTCAATACAACCATATAATTAGATAGTTATTTAAGGAAGCCATGGAAATGCAGTGATTTAAATGAAATAAATATGTAAAAAGGCTAAAGATGTATCAGATGATTTGAGAGGATCCTGTTTATGCTTAATTTGTTGCTTTCTACTGGATATTGATGTTTTTAAGTGTAAGCTGGCTTGGCAATCTTGATTGAGGAGAGGCTCATTTAAATTTATTTGCAGAAAATATATGGTATGAATAAGGAAATATGATAAAATTGGTGTTTATTGGTTCTAGGAATATCGATAGTTATTTCGGATAAAATGCTAAGTTTTACTGTGAAACGACGTCAGTTCTGGCCTGGCTTTCAAATGAGGGTTGACATTGCCAGTGGATCTCCTACCTTGTGCATAGGACGACCGCCCTCATTCTAACTTACAGACTGCGGTATGTGGTTATTAAGTTAGTTCTCATGCAGATTAGATATAGAACAATTTTGAGAAATATTATTGCTGGCTGGCTCTTTGTACACATGTGAATCGTGCTCATGAGTACTTAAAGTATGTCCCAGAAAACATCTTACATTTCAGTGTGAATGTTCAGTTACGTTTTATTGGGGAGCATTTGAACTTTAATTCCAGAATATTTAAAGTAGAAGTTGGTGTCACTTGCAGGGTAGACATAGGTCAGGGAAAATGCCCTTTGTCAGGAAAAACTGGATTTTGCAGATTGGCTGTGTTTTTATCATGTTTTGTATGTACATGATTTAACATTTACCCGAATGACAGAACTATTGTCCGTGCTTTGACATGTTCCATGTTTTAGTCCTATCAATCTTTGAAGTTTATTGGATTTAATTACTCAGTCTAGTAATCTTGCCGTTTCTCATTGACAGTCGGTCATTTTGATGTTAATGTGTAAGGTGTTACTGGTGTATGTTGAGTAAAATGGGTGATTGGAGGCCATTAATCACTTAATGTAATGTGTTTTTGTATTAACGTTGATCAGGGAAAATGGAAATCTGTCGGGGAATTTTAAACTTGTGTCACTGTGGCTACCCTGACTTTTCTCTAGCTGCTTTTATTGGAACCTACTAGATTGGTGGATTACATGTCAGGACTTACTTTGAAAGAATAATTGCTGCTTTCACATTTGATGTAATGGATTTACAAGATTTAGAATGTTTGAGTGTTGAGTTGTAATATTATCCTTGTTGACATGGTGAACATACAGTTGCATTGCAAGATATTAGCTGATTAACTTTCTCCATTTGAGAACAGAAAATCAACTTTAGTTCAGATTAAATGTGTGTCTATTTCTAGAAACTATTCAAACCAAAAGAATATATGCTTGCCTTAGCACATGGATGTTAAGGCATGTTAAGGATGTCAGCTGGTTTGTTCCTGTGATCTGAAGAAATATGTGGCACGGATATGTTGTCTTTGAGCGACGGTTATACTTGAAAGGAAGTCCATGCAAGTCACAAGACACTTACAGATATTCTAAGAATGATGGTCATATATTAGATCATGTTTTTGCAAATGTTGTGGATTAAGTTGTGGTATATAATATAATTATGCACTTCACAGATTTATGAAAGCATTGGTGAATGCCAGCTCAATCTTATTTTTCTAGGAGTGTATCAAAGCTTTGTATCTCGAGTGGGGAAACTTGACAGTATCAGTGGAACTTAGCTGAGTGTTGAATGAGTGTATCTGCAACATGTACAAGTACGGTTATCACACTTATTACTGCAAATGAGTATTTTATTCATGTGTGTAACCGAGGGTTTATTCAGTAGGCTTTTTCCCCTATAGATTTGTAGGTTTCAATTAGTTCATGAAACTCACCAGGCATATACATTACTGCATGGATGTGTTAACTTCTTCTGTAGAGGTAGTGGATGGCAGAAAGCTTATTCTCTGTTCAGCTAACTTCCTGTGTGCTTTATTAATCATTTTGGCTTTTGATGGTCACTCATCGGTGTTCTGGTTGAACAATATGTAATATTCAACTTGTGATGTACTAGTTTTTACCCAGTTATTGGCTCTGATGGGTTGTCAGTCGTTATTACTCTATCCACCTAATTCTAATTATTAGGTTCTTGAATTATTTTCATGGCAACCATTCAAGAAAATTGACTTGTTTCTTGATTTCAAACATGTGGAAAATAAGTTTGAAATTGAAGTTGTTCAAGACTGAGGCTGTTTTTAGAGTTTTGACAGTATTTTGTTAGCATTGAGATGTTGGTTGGCCACATTAGCTGATTGGTATGATTATCTATGGCAAGGCATAGGTGGTGATCGGGACGAGGTTGCTCTTGGCTCATCTATTCACTATTTCCTATTATGATGAGCACTATGATTGCTATTCCTATGACCAGCATGACTGCTTTGGGAGTGACCTTATATACATACATGTACTCAAGCTGAGATTCCAAAGCTGCGTATGAAATATTCTACATTAAGTACATCTACTCAATGGTTATCTGTGCAGGTGAGTTTTATTTTTCAGCTTTGAAGGTAAGTCCCATGGAGACTTAGCTTTCCATGGAGGGGGGAAAACGGATAGGGATGTTAGGGCTAGGCGCGGAATAGAGCGGGACAAACGATAGGCAACTAGGCAGTTAGCGACTGTATGAACCATGTAACATGTGTTTCTTGAAGTGTCTTGCAGATACCATCGGATGCTGGACATGATGTAATAATGTTTTTACAACGTAATGACAATGTATGCCACTGATAACATCCGGTTGGCAAAGGAACGAGATGGAGACGAGACTCATGATCTATTATGTTCTTATTTGCCGATTAGACAAATGTGTATGCATCAGCCCGGAGACGTAAAATGCAGCCTTTTGAAGGTTTCCAACGCAAGGCGATTGTGGTAGTACCTACTGATGAGGATTTCAAAACCCGCATTGCCCAAAGGGAGAAGGAAGAGGGAAAAGAGGTGCCAGAAAAAGCTGTTCTTGAAATGAAAGGTAGGGATCGCCGCCGGATAAGGGGGCGGGCACCTGCTGCCGATTGTTATTCTCCTGTCAGCCTTCTTGAAGCTTATTTTAGACCCTAACTATGTAGCTCACCCATAAGCATGTTAATCTTGCTCAGGTTAAGATAGTCTTAGATGTTGGGTTCTCCACTTATGAATTTCGTCAGGGTAGATGCTGAGGAAATTCATGTGGACATTTTGTATCCATACTGATCTTGTTTCGTTTTTTCTTCGCACAGCTAATTTCACATTGCCAGAAACAGGGTCTCTGTTTGACGGTGTAGAGTTCACTGAGCAGGACAAGGAAGAGATCGATAAGCTGGTAGAGAAGTACCGCAAAGAAGGCCAGGCAGCTCTCCCTCCTCCGGACAAGAGATTCAGAGGAGATAGGTTCTCGGGTAGGTGTGCTTGATACATCATTGCCATTCAGTAATGAAAACATAGTATTTCAGACAGGAAGCCATTTCTCGCCGTATCCCACTGAGTAATTGTGGAATTCACATTTATACTACATATTAATAAGTAATCGTTCCCATGGAAACAATATATTTCACAGCTCAAAACCACTATAATTTCTATGGAAACAAGAAAAGGCCTTCACACCTATGTCCGCTGTTGTAAACTGTCTCGCGCATCTCGTAAGGTTGCTCTAATTTATATATTGCTCTGTATTTATTTACAATATTTGTGCCCTATACTTACTGAACTAAAGTTATTGAATCACAGTAACTTGTGAGTATAAAATGTGAAGGCCTAGTTATTAGTTGAAGTTAACCTGATGGTGTAAGAAATGTTGGTTGTGCACAATAATTTTGTCACTCTCACGAGCTGTGGACGTTAAAATACCCGAACTTGAGCTTAATTTATATCAAATGACATAAAGAAGTGCATTTTGTTGCAGTCTAGTCTGCAGTATTCGAGATAAGGAACATTCTCTGAATAGATTTCATTGACTTGTAACCTTGAAACATTCTTTTTCCTAAAACACTTATTTAAAAATGACTACTGTTATGTATGGCACATGAACTAGTTAGAATAGTTACCTGCCCTTACGCTGGCACTATCAAGTGAGCCATAAGATCTGGTCATAGTGATAGTAAGTTGTGGTGCACGAAATCTGTGCCATTGTTCCTCTTACTGTCATGATGATGGGTGTAGAAGTGTCCCATGATGTCAGCAAATGGAGAAGATGAACAATGTCCCTATCATCTGATTCAAAGGAAATATCTACTTTTGTGAAGTAAAATTATCAAATGAAAGATGGTGAATGTTCGATAGCAATATTTATTACAAGCAAATCATAATCACTTGTTGCCATTATCTGAAGATGTAGCTGATTGCTTTAGCCTTGGGCATACTTGCAGCTGACTTCAAGGATGTTATTTCAACAGTAATCTGGGATTTTGAATAGGCAGTTCTTTAAGGGCCGACCATAGGTGTTGTTGACAACAGCTTAGGTTGCTCTCCTCTACTGACTGTTATCAGTAATATCGCTTCAGCTCCTCATTACTGTCTCTGGGAATGCTGGACCTGTCAAGCACAGCACTGGGTTTTGGTAGGGGGGTTGGATGGAAATTAAAATAATCAACTAAAGACAAATTGTATCTTGTTCCTAAATAGTCATGATAGCACACAATAGCCTTTATAGATACATGTCTAATCCTTATACATGCACATTGACTTCATGAGCGTACATTCTTGGTTTTATAAGTAACAATGTAATATGTATTTCATATCGGGTATTTAATATGCCCTTAAGAATTTAGATTTTTGTTTTTTAAGTTGTAATTCATTTACATAGTGATTGAACTTGCTTCTTGATGGTAGTAGCAATAACCCAGAACAGGACCGTCAGTTGACTCTATTAAGGACTGACGTTCCTTTGGTTGACAGGGCTAATTGATACATATAAACAAGGGGCCTCCTGCCTCTTGATAAAACACCAGCTAGCTTCAGATAGTTAGACCGTGGTCGGCCTCTGAGGAAGAAGTGAAAGTAAGACTGGCACTTCCGTTTAGTTTCTGTCAACTCACTACACAAAATCAATATATATGGGTCAATATCAAGTAGTCATGAGCAATGCCAGTGTCATTCCAAATTCTATTCTACAGTGAATTTATGTACTTCATAACAACTGAACATGATAGGTTATTGCATGTCAACAAACCATATATTCTTTAAGATTTAAGGCAACAAAAGAGAAACATTGACAGATTTATCTGGACCTGCTCAGAGGCTAATCTTCAGCATCAAGTCTGCAGAAAATTTCATAAAACAATTCCAAAATCAGAATTTAACATTTCCCAAATCATGTAAACATATAATATAACTCATTACTTATTGTATGGCTTTGTGGTGATAACCTTTATTACCTTGATAACAGGGCCAATAAATGGGAAGAGTTTTTAATCATTAACTTTATATTATTTGCATTGCATACAATCTCTTTGCCATGTGGCACAACACTCATTGTCAGGAAGTAACAAGTATGCCATGTGGCACAACTCCCATTGTCAGGAAGTAACAAGTATGCCATAGGACACAACACCCATTGTCGGGAAGTAACAAGTATGCCATGTGGCACACAAACCATTGTCAGGAAGTAACTAGTATGCCATGTGGCACAAAACCCATTGTCAGGAAGTAACAAGTATGCCATAGGACAGGAAGTAACAAGTATGCCATATGGCACAACACCCATTGTCGGGAAGTAACAAGTATGCCATGTGGCACAACACCCATTGTCAGGAAGTAACGCCATAGGGCACAAAACCCATTGTCAGGAAGTAACGCCATAGGGCACAACACCCATTGTCAGGAAGTAACAAGTATGCCATAGGGCACACCACCCATTGTCAGGAAGTAACAAGTATGCCATCAGGCACAACACCCATTGTCAGGAAGTAACAAGTATGCCATATGGCACACCAACCATTGTCAGGAAGTAACAAGTATGCCAAAGGGCACAACACCCATTGTTGGGAAGTAACAAGTATGCCATGTGGCACAACACCCATTGTCAGGGAGTAACAAGTATGCCATGTGGCACAACACCCATTGTCAGGAAGTAACAAGGTTGCCATAGGGCACAACACCCATTGTCGGGAAGTAACAAGTATGCCATGTGGCACACAAACCATTGTCAGGAAGTAACTAGTATGCCATAGGGCACAAAACCCATTGTCGGGAAGTAACAAGTAATGACATATGGCACAAATTTTCCCTGAATTTAGGAAAGTAAGAACTTCTAATAATATATTTTCCCAATTTGTCTACCAAAAGAAATTTGTTTAGAACCCTGGATAATTCCCTAATTGATTTTGTGGCCTCAATGTCTTTGGCCATTACATTATTTTACAATGAATCAAATCAATCAATTGCTAAGTGAGTGGGAGACGAGAGTTGGTCCAATATGAATTGTATATTTGCCCTGGGATGAGCGTTTCATAACCAAAGTTGCCAAAGAGTGAGATGCATGTGCCAAAGACACAGAATATATTCATGTGGGTCACGCACTCAGTGTTCTCACACTGAAGCATAAGAGTTCTAGAATGTCTTTTCATGTACAGTCATCAAACCAATGTTTAAGGTGCTAAGGTTACAGGACTCGGACCCTGGTGACTAATCGTAACCATTGTTGAATCAACGCCTAAGCACCAGGTCCACATGCTCTAACCTATACATTGTATATAGGACTTTCATTCATTACATTTAATGAAAAGATGTTATTCATTAATAGATCAGGCCTCTAGTTTATTATTTCGATGCATTATCAATAAGAATATGTACGGAGAACGCATTAAGATAAAAATTAATTTCCAGCATGACAAGTGTTGAGTTGAAGATTGCATACTCAGCATCTCAGTAAACAAGCACTACAGTTTATGATTACATGATTCTTGACCACTATGAATTTCAGGTCGAGGTCGTTATGACAACCGCGATCGTCGTGGTGGCTATGACCAACGTGATCGTGGTAGAGGAGGCTACCGTGGGGGATATGACCGTAGAGGAGGTGGTTATGGAGGTGGGTGTTGCTGAAACATGTCTCCAAGATATGTACCAGAAATATATTTGATATGTTGATTTTTACAATATTTCTATTGGACTATTTGGAGATTTTAGAGACAAGCCAAAAATGATTCCATGGAGAGTGACAAAGAAGTATAACCTGTTGTTATCTTTTGCAGGCTACAAATCAGGTGGGGGACGTTATGATGACCAGGATAGATCTGGAGGTCGACAGGCACAGGTAATTTGATTTTTAATTGCCTAATACAAATACTCAGCCCTTCAGTTGAAGGTGATAGACTTCACATGAAGTTGATGCAGAACTCCTATCTGAGCCCCTTAGAACCAACACCAGATATTGACCAAGAAACATCCACAGGTTTTAATCCACTCACATCCCACTTGCTGAGTACAGTTTGGTTGGGGTCATCTGCAAGTAAAGGGAAGAAATCTAGAGATTATCCCTTAGACGAGTAGACACTGATAACCAGTTTTGTATCGGTTAAGGATAATCATAAAGAATCTGTATGAGTTAAATGTAACCTGTAAGAGGGGACATAAATGCAAAATGTGTGTGTGCCAGTCCTGTGGAACTCTTCCCCTTGACATTATATGAGCTAGCAGCTTTGAATATTTTGTATCGAAACTGAATACACATCTTTTCACTTCGTATGATGCCTAAGTTGCAGTGTCTGTTTTCATAACGATTTATCTTTTGCACTTTGAACATGTACCAGTGCATGGTATTAGTGCATTAGACATGCATATATTATGATTATATTATGATTATATCCTTTGGACATGGAATCCATATAATAAATATTTTGATGAACATTGTCATTTTTCAGTCCTATGACCGCAACTACAACCATAATCGCAGTTACAACCAGGGCTCCTACAACAAGCAAGGCTCCTGGGGCAGTCAGGGGTCGTGGGGGAACCAGGGTTCATGGGGCAACCAGGGATCTTGGGGCTCAAACAACCCTAACTATAATGTAAGTACAGTGAGTTATAATAGCAGTAGCCAATTAGATTCTTGTGATAAGTTTCTAGTCCACTAGTCCTAATAATAACATAAAACATGGCACATTTCTACTAGTCCTCATGATACCTTCACTATTGGACAGTTTGGCAAGGACTTCAGGACTACAGGTTTTGGTAAGAACGTTTGGCTGTTGTGTCTTGTTTTTTTTTATCTGTGGAACATTTTTAACATTTTTGTTTCAGTGGAGTGGTTATGGCCAGGGTTCATCAAACCAGGGATACGGTCAATGGGGAGGTCAAGGCAGCTGGGGACAGAACTACTGGGGTCAGGGTGGCAACTACAACAACCAGAATCAACAGTACGGCAGCTGGGGCTATGGCAACTACAGCAACAAATAGTGGCTTCAACATCACACCTATAGTCAGTTTCCTTAAGTCACCAGTGCCCTGGTGTCAAGCAAGGGAGGAGTAGGGGAGAAGCATGGATCGGTTGATGGGTATACTTCAGCGACAGATGTCAGGAGACCTGTGTTCAAGCCTGTTGTATGAGGTACACCTCGACATGATTTCTACCTCTCAGCCGTACTCCGGAACCCACAAGACAGGGATCATGTCCTTGATCATTCAACCTGAACATATTTCTTTGAATTTCTCAGTGTCTTCATGTTACTGTTTTGGTGCAGTGTTGTGCTTGTGTATCAACTGTATATAAAATCCTGTCTGTTCCGTGAAGTTACACAATGTTTTTGTAAAAGGAAAAGAATACAGGAATGAAACAGTTTTGCATCAGCTGTAGAATGCATTTATCAAGTCTTCATGAAGAAGATGGACATTAGTCATGTTGCTATTTCTTACACTTAATCTTGTTCTTTAGGTCATTCGTCATCTTTGTAGATGTTCATTAATGTGAATCATGAAAAACAATTGATTATGTGCATAATTAGAGATACTTTCCATGAATCAGACCATCACAGCAAGTTCATCGTCTTCTCCCATATGACAGGAGCATGGTAAAGCATATTAATTGTTGCCTGTCATTGTACAAAACATGTCATATCTTTTGTTTTAAACCATCATCCGAGCCGAACTGTGTGCATCTTCTGATTTCATTCAGGAACATTCATAGATTTTATAAAAATATTTTATTGTAATTTTATTTTAATGTTTCTTGTTAAATTGGCCTTGTTGTTAGTGTCCAACTATAACAATAGTCAGTGAGAATAGAGCCCTGTAATTAATAGTAGGTGGATAATTGGTATTGTGTATCATGTACATTGACAACTGTTGTATCTAGCTGTTTCTGAGACTGACATCTAGGAGCCAGTGTGACACTGATCAGGAAAACTGGGGATGCGGTTCCAGAAACTGCTGAGCAAATCGGTTGTTGAAGAGATTTTAGTGGATATTTTATGTTCAAAATGCGTTACTTATGAAACATGTCTTCATTGTTAAATACATCTTTCTTGGCAATATTGTCTCCTGTTATTTCTTAATGAAAGTGGTGTCCTGTGTCCTATCCCTGTGGGGATATTGTGTTGGGGCCATTGAACTTATACATCCTTTGCAGCTGCCTGCTGGCTTTACTGAATGAAGATGACATGCCGGAATATGATTGCAATGATATTCAAGATGGCAATAGTTCCCTGCCCAAGATGGGATAATGAAAACTTAAGTGCGTTGACTTCTTTGCTGTTAGCTTCCGACGTGTGAAAGTGTTGACTACAACCAAGTAGAGTTGTTCCCCCTTGACTACATAACTGGTTTTTCAAGCGAAATATGACTGCCAGTAACCCCTCTTTCCATGTCATCAGATTTTTAGTGACTATGATTCAGGAACATTCTTAATTTGAGAAAGAATCTCTGGCCAGGGCTGTCCACACCAACCAATTCGTTGCAAGAACCTGAATAGGGTTGTCCACTGACTGAATCAGTCTAATTTCCCAAAGAACGCTCTATGGTTGACAACAGGAATACAAACTCTTGTTTGTGACGATCAGGTGAAATTATTGTTTCAAGCCTAAGGTCAAGCCTTCATACCTTTCATGGGGTAATGGTGATATACTTTTTACTGGGGCGAAAATGGTCTGGACGCTTTTTTGATAGGCATTTAGAAGTTGGAGTACTAAGTAAGTATTACAATTCAGAGCGACGTTTCGGTGTTGGTTCTAACACCGTTATCAAGCAAGTGATCCATAAATCTTATCCTTACTTGATCTACTGAAATCTGTCTACTTGCCATGCCACACAGGAGACCATTACGCACTGTCTGAGTAATAGCGTTAACGCTACTGGCGTTCCGCAGGTCATTTCTGAAACATTGACGACGACGACCCCGACCCGTGAAGATCCGGGTTAGAATGTCTTCAGCAAACCCATGCTTGCCTTAATAGTCGACTATACTTGTAAGAGGCGACTAACTGGATCGGGTGGTCAGGCTCGCTGACATGGTTGAAGCATGTAATCGATCCCAATTGCGTGGATCGATGCTCATGACATCAATCACTGGATTGTCTGGTCTAGACTCGATTATATTTACACATCGCTGTCATATAGCTGGAATATTGCGGAGTGCGGCGTTAAACAAAAAACTAACCAACAACAGTCACGAAGTGATGACGTCTTGCTGCAAGGAGGAGAAACCTGTCTTCCCGCAGAGTAGCGGAAGGCTGTCGACCCCCTGCGTGTCGCTGGGTCGCTGATTAGGGTTGCGACGGGTACTCGAGTACCCGATAACGGGTCAGGTAGCTTAGGACTCGAGTCCAATTTTCAGGACTCGAGTACCCGTTCAGGGGAGATAACTCTTATCGCCTTTAGTAACTCGTAAGTCACTTCAAAATGGACGACAAAGCGGACAAACGTTCAAATATTTTAGGTAAGCCATGCAGGCATTTAATAAAAAACATAATACCTTAGAATAGATCAATAGATGTTTGATGACCTTTTATTCGCAAAAGCATTACAAACAAGTGGGACAACATTGAACTACGGGTACTCGAGTCCGGTTCGGGTATTGTCTGCCGGGTCCTCGAGTTCAGTTTTCGTACCCGGTCGCAACCCTATCGCTGATCCAAACGTCTGGTATCGATTCCATGTCCTGATCACACTTTGGCTGACAGCGAAGACGTTAGCAACGTGACATTGTGTTGACCATGTTTCAAGCATGGCCGTGCATCTGCCTAACTCTTCGGTTGTCAAACGGCATCTTTGACGCCGAGGCGGCATAACTGCATTCAGTTGTAATCCACAGTAGCAAATGTTGTGCTCTCAGGTAGTGATGTTCAACGATTCTGTCACGATACACCGGTTTTCCGTCCGTTCATCATGAAATTGGTTTATCCACATAGGACCTCAAACATTGTGTACCGGGATATTTCAATCTTTATTTGTCGGGTGTTTTTTAGAAGTTTATCCTCAGCAAATTGTGAGTAGTATATGTATGCTCGCAGGAGTAGGATACCACACTATGATGTCCGCTGACATGTTTTAAGGAACAAAAAGATATATCTTACGTTTACTCTTTCATTAAACGGATTTTGTTTCGCTAGCCAGAAACCAATGGTCTTTGCTTTTACTCACAAATTCACAAATTCTCGTGTTGATTCTTCAGCATATGATGCTTGCCGTAAAAGGCGACTAACGGGATCGGGTGGTCAGGTTCGCTGACTTGGTTGACTTGGCCCTTTCGCGCCTTCCAATACTCACTCATATAATTTATTTATAAGATATTACAGACAGTATCAATATGCAGCATTAACTCATTCCGTAAATAGACTTCCACTCTAGATTCATTGTCCAGCGCCCTTCCTTCAGTAATCTGTAGGCTATGGTGGCCCAGTCGTCTTAGGCGCCGCCTTTTGCTTTGATCGTGGGTTCGAATCCCGGTTCGCGTTATTTCTAGATTTGTCAGCACCATATCCGTGCTCGTGGGTTTCACTGACTTGGTAAACGTCTGAGACCTGCATCACTTACCTCACATATTAGGCTGACACGCTGTGATATAACTGGAACAATCTCAAAAGCGGCGTTAAACCTTGACCTTACTCACTCTACAGTAATCAGCTTACTGTCACGTAAAGGCCATCCGGACTGGTACAAGCAGCCACACACACGTACATGCACGTCTCTATCATAGTACAATCATCTTCACCTCACAACGTTTGGGACGTTGCAAAAATATCTGTGAAAAGGGCTCCCCCGTAATCTCAACACCAAGCCAGGAGCGTTTGCAGCTTTTTAAAGCGGATCGCGCATGAAATATGTGGTCTCCTCCGGAGGGTTTATTTAAAAACATTATTGCTTCTCATCACTTATGAAAATATATTTTTCAATTTATGTATGCGGTTAATGTATTTTTGCAGCATCCAGATTTCTTAAAAATGCAAATTCGTAATGGAACACAATTCTATACAATCACTATTGGAAACGAAATTAAATTGTAATTAAAAAAAGTTAATCCAGGTTCGATATTTAAAGTCGAACGAGATGGGAACAAGGCCCTTTCGAATTGAAAGATGCATTTTAAATGTTGTATTGCAGCAACTGCCTGTCTTTGCAGTTAACAAATGGAACGACATGGTGATCGCCTAAGTGCAGAGTTGCGTCTCTTACCGGTGCCAGGATCCGGTTTTCGTACGTTTGAATCCCAGATTCGCCCTTGTAATGATTCTTGGTTTGTCAGCGCCATACTCGTGCTCAGCTGGTATACGTCTACCACCCCCTGGGTGTCCTGACAGTCACCTGACAGTCACCTGACTTATCGTGGTATATCGAATCACGCCAAAGCGGCGCAACACTCACTCACTCACAAGTAGGTCAGACTTGGCCACCACTCTATCTGCTGGACGGGGCCGACCAGGCATACAGGAGTCCTTTTGTTCAAACAATATGTCGCCCTTCTGCTGTACTCTATGACCAGATGGTTTTTTCGGTTCACGTTTGTTTACAAGTTATGTGCCGTTTATCTCCCATTATCTAACAAGACCACACATTATTGAGGTTGTTACAATGTATTTCGGCACTCGAGGGTCACTTAAGTACCTTTGACCTCACGTGAACTAACAGTTGGCGCGTTGTCTGTCTGTTGTAAACTATGAAGGCCTATGAAGCTGAACTTTGCATTGATGTTCCGAACATGTACCTTTTTTTTTTAATTATTGAACCATTTGCATATATAATTATCAAATTTGGTATGCAGAAGGTTTTTTATATTGTTTTTGACACAACTTCAACCTCTGACCTTGTACCGCTGCGCCTCCATGGCAGGTCTGATGAAGTAATTTTAGCCCTCAACGCACATGACGCAGCCAAATGCGGGTTGTATTGAGGTATGACTGTGTAATTTAATACTCATGCAGTGGGGATACATGTCGTGTAGAAATGAATGCTGTTTTCAATCAAGTGTAATACTCCACAACTGTTCAGTTGAGCTTTGAAGTCACGTGTTTCCTTTTTTAACAAACTACATGTGGGAATTATGTGTCAAGTCTCGTTTAGAGGGCAAACGTACCAGCCTCTGCCCGGAAGTGGTGAAGAAACACCATGTGATTCAAACAATTACAGCTCATGTGTCACACACTTTAAAATCATGCGCCTCTAAGATGGCAGACAGGGTGATCGATTGTGGCATAACAGAAAAGAAAATTATCTTTACACGTGCGCACACACACACATTCGTACACACACACGTAGACACGCTTTCTCTCTCTCATACACGCGAGCACACATTACACAGGCACGCACACACATGCACACTCTCACTCATACACGCGCACGCGCACGCACGCGCACGCACACACACACAAACACACACTCATGCTTACCCACGCGCGCGCGCGCACGCACGCATGCACACACACACAGACTCGCAATCTCATACACACACACGCACACATTTCATGTCCCATCGTAATTATTTAGCCGTAAAGTATTCACGTTTAGCCAACCTGTTCACAACGGCATTTAACACAACTCACTCACCCGACTCACAGTCGCCTGGGGGCGGTCGGGTAGCCTAGTGGTGAAAGCGTTCGTTTGTCACGCCGAAGACCAGGGATCGATTCCCGACATGGGTACAATGTGTGAAGCCCATTTCTGGTGTCCCCCGCCGTGTTATTGCTGGAAGATTGCTAAAGGCGGCGTAAAAGCATACTCACTCGCAGTCACGTGATCGTCAGTCTTCCGTTCTCGCCTGTAAACATCAACGTTGAAACCTGGCATCACCAATGATGACACCTAGGTTTGAAAGAGGCTAAAAACGATTTCAAACATGTATTTTTTCAGTTAGAAGTGATACCATCTGACCAGAAGTGCATTTAACTTTCATATTATGTAAGCTAGTGAGGCATGGTATACTCTCGTGTTGAATGGCTTATACTGCACTGGCCACGTATCGTTTAAAAAACAAGAAGTGACGTCACCAGACTGTGTTAATAACTTTCTCAGTACGCAAAGTGGAATCGTGTTGACAGGTTATGTTTTATTGGCCTGCAGTGATGATGATTATTGCTACAAATAATGTCGACCTCGTTATAAAAAAAAGGTTGCAAAATATATCTGTGAAATATGACTGAATAATCATTATTTACTACGAGTACTGATAATAACATAAAAGGTCGTCGATATAAAGTTTCGATAAGCTGGATGACCTTCCGAAGCCAGACGAGTTATTCCTCGCGAAAAGGTCCTGTCTGATTTCCACAACCTCCTCAATAAGGGAGGGTGTTGACCCCCTCCTTTCCTGAATCCCGAATACCATCCAACTCCGAGTCTTATTTGCTCACCCCTGAACCCCGAATACAACTTAACACAACAACTTTACATAGGCAGAATGTCAGTCGCAGGTCATAAAAGGGTGGGATTTGAAGTAAAATTAGTTTAAAAAAAAAAAATAAAAAAAAAAATATATATATATATATATATATTTGGGGGTCTGTTTAGAGGGTATAAAAAGGATTTTTAAAATTGTTGAATCTGAATCCCGAATACCCTCTAAATAGACCCTCGAATACCGCGTACCACACTGAATCCCGAATACCCTCTAAATAGACCCCCGAATACCGCGTACTGCACTGAATTCCGAATACCCTCTAAATAGACCCCCGAATACCGCGTACTGCACTGATGAATCCCGAATACCCTCTTACAGACCCCCGAATACCGCGTACTGCACTGATGAATCCCGAATACCCTCTAAACAGACCCCCGAACACCGCGTACTGCACTGATGAATCCCGGACACCCTCTAAATAGACCCCCGAACACCGCGTACTGCACTGATAAATCCCGGACACCCTCTAAATAGACCCCTGAACACCGCGTACTGCACTAATGAATCCCGGACACCCTCTAAATAGACCCCCGAATATCGCGTACCACACTGATGGATCCCGAATACCCTCTAAACAGACCCCCGAATACCACGCACTGCACTGATGAATCCCGGATACCCTCTAAATAGACCCCCGAATATCGCGTACCACACTGATGGATCCCGAATACCCTCTAAACAGACCCCCGAATACCACGCACTGCACTGATGAATCCCGGATACCCTCTAGACCCCCGAATACCACGTACTGCACTGATGGAACTCGGATACCCTCTAAACAGACCCCCGAATACCACGTACTGCACTGATGGATCCCGGATACCCTCTAAATAGACCCCCGAATACCGCGTACTGCACTGATGGATCCCGAATACCCTCTAAACAGACCCCCGAATACCACGCACTGCACTGATGAATCCCGGATACCATCTAGACCCCCGAATACCACGTACTGCACTGATGGATCCCGGATACCCTCTAAATAGACCCCCGAACACCGCGTACTGCACTGATGGATCCCGGATACCCTCTAAATAGACCCCCGAATACCGCGTACTGCACTGATGGATCCCGGATACCCTCTAAATAGACCCCCGAATACCACGTACTGCACTGATGGATCCCGGATACCCTCTAAATAGACCCCCGAATACCGCCTACTCAAGGGGGTTGGCAGCCTCATAAGGTTATTTTCCGATTCACCAATCACTGAACTGAGTTGCATGAATAAACATTTAGCATCACATGGGTAACATTGCAGCCATCTAGCGGTTACAGGTTGTGTCTACGCCAGGTAAAGTACTTGGCCAGTGTCAACTGTATTACAAACCTAATGGTGGTGTTAATTTCTAACATTGTTACTGAGTTGATCACCCATCTGTGATGATTCCTATGATAACGGCTAACGAATTAGGTGCGAGGCTGCTCAGTAATCATGCATGCTCTCAGAGTGATGAGGGTGCAAACAACTGGTTAGTATCAAGAGTGAGTGAGTTGTGTTTAACGCCGCTTTGAACAGTTTTCCAGTTATATCACGGCGTGTCTGCTTGATGTAGGAGGCAACCCCGAAGTAATGCAGGGTAAATATCAAGAGAAGCGAGAAAAATACCGGTTTCTAACACGTGAAAATCGGATTTGGCCAAAAAATTACAGACGTTATCAAGACGAAAAACGTCTGAAAACTGTTTTTGAAACACTGCAAACATTGAAGACCCAACACAACTTTGCAACCATCGTATAACCTTTCTTGTTTGTTTCCTTTTTAAGTTTAAATTCTTTTTCCCGGTATTTTCACGACAGGACATCATTGTTAGTGTAAAGCAAACACCAATGGCGACGCAACACAGACAGCAGTGTACAATGTCTTACCACAACAAATACACACGATAGGTAAATATGTAGGGATGGGAGGGTTTGCACTTCCTAGTTTTGATGTAATTGTATTTGTCTGGCGCTAAATGCATCAGTTTTGGTTCTGCGCGTGTGAAAATACCAAGTTTGTTTTGCTTGAAAAACACAGATGTATTTGTCAGTTGACTCAAGATAATACGCAGTGATGTGAAAAGTAACCTTAAAAGTATGGCCTTGTAAGTTGTACGCCATTTGGTGGCTGGGAACTATCTGATTGTAACAGTATTGTCTCTTGAATGACTCAGTGGGTTCATATTTTTATATGCCAGAGTTCTGAGCAATGTTTATTTATTCTAATTCACAAACGAGTTGACATGCCTGCTGTACGACTCCCATGAATGTACATGACGAGCCTGGTCTGATTCATATATACACAAACAACCAACGATACTGATAAAAAACATTGTACATGTATTCACTTAAAGTCCCCATAACGTCACAAAAAGAACTGAACATAATTACGAAACAACACTCAATCATGATGTTTGAGCTACCAGACAACTCACGAGGTAAAGTTGATGATGCCACCTCTCCTCCCCTGAATCCCAAACATCATCATATTTTTCAATCTTATTCTAATTTGCTCTCACCCCTGAATCCTACGAAAGCCTAATGGTGCCACTTTGGTAGCATATATATTTTAATTAAATTATTTCGATTATATTTTCGTAATTTCATTTATTTTCTCGTTACTTCGAGTTTTTTCTCGTAATTTCGATTATTTATTCGTTATTTTAATTATTTATCGTTGCTTCGAGTTTTTTCTCTCTTTACTTCGATTATTTTCTCGTCATTTCTATTATTTTCTTGTTATTTCAAGTTTATTACAAAAACTCGAAATTTCGATTTTTTCTCGTTTCTTCGATTATTTTCTCGTTATTTCAAGTTTGTGTAAAAACCCTCAAAATTTCGATTTTTTCTCGTTATTTCATTTATTTTCTCGTTATTGAAATATATATCGGAAACTTTCTCGTACACAAATAATTTTTCAAAAAACGTTGAATCTGCGTACCAAGTACACATTTATATGAGTCCCGCGCACCACACTGCTGAGTCCCGAATACCCCGTAAATAGACCCCTGAATCCCGCGTACCTAAAGGGGGTTGGCAGAAATTGTACAGAGATATTTTGAAGCCTGTGCTGAAACAAAGTCTCTTGGATGCAA